TGGTTGCAATTTGTTTTGAATGGGCAGCAATGGTGAGCTGGGCAGAAAATCTACTAAAGGAAGGCTTTTTCAAATCCGCCCTCTTTTCAATGGAAATTTCGCCCTATATTAGGGACAGGGGTGTGCAGCAGGGTAGGGTTAGGGTTAGAAAAAGGAAGTGTTTTGATGGTTGTAATGTGTTTAGAATGTGCAGAAGTGTTGAGCTGGGCAGAAAAACTGCTCAGGGAAGGTTTTTTCAAAATCATCCTCTTTTCTATGGAAGTTTACCCCTATATTAGGGTTAGAGGTGTGCACCAGGGTAGGGTTAGGGTTAGAAAAATGAGGTGTCCTGGTATAGTTTAGATGGTTGGAATGTCTTTAGAATGGGCAGAAATATTGAGCTGAGAAGAAAAAGCTACTGAGGGAAGGCTTTTTCAAAATCACCCTCTTTCAATGGAGCTTTGCCACTATATTAGGTTTAGGGGAGTGCACCAAGGTAGGGTTATGGTTAAAAAAACGAGGTGTGATGGCATGGTTTTGATGGTTGGAATGTTCTTAGAATGGGCAGAAATGTTGAGCTGTGCAGATAAATCTACTCAGGGAAGGCTTTTTCTAAATCACCCTCTTTTCAATGGAACTTTACCCCTATATTAGTGTTAGAGGTGTGCATCATGGTAGGGTTAGGAATAGAAAAACAAGGTGTGCTGGCATGGTTTTAATGGTTGGAATGTGTTTAGAATGGGCAGAAGTGTTGAGCTCGGCAGAAAAAGTTTCTCGGAAGCCTTTTTTAAAATCACCCTCTTTTCAATGCAACTTTACCCCTATATTAGGGATAGGGGTTTGCACCAGGGTAGGGTTAGGGGTAGAAAAACTAGGTGTCCTGGCATGCTTCTGATGATTGGAATACCTTTAGAAGAACAGGCAGAATTGTTGATCTGTCCAGAAAAAGCTATCAGGGAAGTCTTTTTCAAAATTGCCGTCTTTTCAATGGAACTTTTGCCCTATATTAAGGTTAGGTTCTGCAGCAGTGTAGGGTTAGAGCAGTAATGGCGAACCTATGACACATGTGCCACCGTGCTCACGCAGAGCCCTCTGTGTCAGCACGCGAGCTACGTCGCCCCAGCATCACCCCAGCAGCTGAGCTTCAAATTACAGTGCACATAGTGTCCATGCGTATGCTTGGCAAGGGGTAGTGGCCCCAGTGATGATATCACGAGCCGCGACTCATTAGTCCTGACTCGTCCGAGCTTCCACATGGATGGTCAGTGCACTGCCAAATATATATACAGTATATCACAGAAGTGAGTACACCCCTCACATTTTGTAAATATTTTATTGTATCTTTTCATGTGACAACCCTGAAGAAATGACACTTTGCTACAATGTAAAGTAGTGAGTGTACAGCTTGTATAATAGTGTAAATTTGCTGTCCCCTCAAAATAACTCAACACACAGCCATTAATGTCTAAACCGCTGGCAACAAAAGTGAGCACACCCCTAAGTGAAACTGTCCAAATTGGGCCCAAAGTGTCAATATTTTGTGTGGCCACCATTATTTTCCAGCACTGCCTTAACCCTCTTGGGCATGGAGTTCACCAGAGCTTCAGGTTGCCACTGGAGTCCTCTTCCACTCCTCCATGACAACATCACGGAGCTGGTGGATCTTAGAGACCTTGCGCTCCTCCACCTTCCATTTCAGGATGCCCCATAGATGGTTGGTCAGTCCATCACCTTTCCTCTCAGCTTCTTTAGCAAGGCAGTGGTCGTCTTGGAGGTGTGTTTGGGGTCGTTATCATGTTGGAATACTGCCCTATGGCCCAGTCTCTGAAGGGAGGGGATCATGCTCTGCTTCAGTATGTCACAGTACATGTTGGCATTCATGGTTCCCTCAATGAACTGCAGCTCCCCAGTGCCGGCAGCACTCATGCAGCCCAGGACCGTGACACTCCCACCACCATGCTTGACTGTAGGCAAGACACACTTGTCTTTGTTCTCCTCACCTGGTTGTTGCCACACACACTTGACACCATCTGAACCAATTAAGTTTATCTTGGTCTCATCAGACCACAGGACATGGTTCCAGTAATCCATGTCCTTAGTCTGCTTGTCTTCAGCAAACTGTTTGTGGGCTTTCTTGTGCATCATCTTTAGAAGAGGCTTCCTTCTGGGATGACAGCCCTGCAGACCAATTTGATGCAGTGTGTGGCGCGTGATCTGAGCACTGACAGGCTGACCCACCACCCCTTCAACCTCTGCAGCAATGCTGGCAGCACTCATCTATTTCCCAAAGCCAGCCTCTGGATATGACGCTGAGCACATGCGCTCAACTTCTTTGGTTGACCATGGCGAGGCCTGTTCTGAGTGGAACCTGTCCTGTTAAACCGCTGTATGGTCTTGGCCACCGTGCTGCAGCTCAGTTTCAGGGTCTTGGCAATCTTCTTATAGCCTCGGCCATCTTTATGTAGAGCAACAATTCTTTTTTCCAGATCCTCAGAGAGTTCTTTGCCATGAGGTGCCATATTGAACTTCCAGTGACCAGTATGAGTGAGAACGATAACACCAAATTTAACACACCTGCTCCCTGTTCACACCTGAGACCTTGTACCACTAATGAGTCACATGACACCAGGGAGGGAAAATGGCTAATAATGCCCAATTTGGACAGTTTCACTTAGGAGTGTACTCACTTTTGTTGTCAGTGGTTTAGACATTAATGGCTATGTGTTGAGTTATTTTGAGGGGACAGCAAATTTACACTTATACAAGCTGTATACTCACTACTTTGCATTGTAGCAAAGTGTCATTTCTTCAGGGTTGCCACATGAAAAGATACAATAAAGTATTTACAAAATGTGAGGGGTGTACTCCTGTGATATACTGTATTTGTTTGGACTGGCTGCAAGGTGTTTTTTCTAAACTAAAACCTAAGTTTTCAGGTTTTATTGTAGTGTTGGCACTTTGTGATCTATAATTGGTTTTAGGTTGCAGTTTGAGCACTTAATCTCTAAAAGGATTGCCATCACTGCCCTAGTTGAATTAATTGTGTATTAGAGAGCACTGTCTTGGTTGCACAACAGATTTAGCAATAATGTTTGATAAACTACAATTGTTTTGTTTAGTGTGCTTCCCACCTAGGAGTGCCATATAAACTATCCCAATTACTCATGGTTTGTGGTAAAGTTTAATAAACCCAACATAGCTTATTGTGTTAATTTCTGAGTTTAGACAACTAAAAAAAAACCAGACAGCCCCTTAGCAAGAGTGGTAGAAAGACTTACTGCTCTAGTCAAGGGGTTAGAGAATGACCACTGTTCCCCGGCAGCTCAAAATGCCCAAGCAGCATTTGGGAAGCACAGGGAATAACTTCTCTTCTGCTAGCAGTGCCAGGTCATTTCAAAACTCTAGGCAAAAATTTAAAATAATTAACAAAACCAAAAATGAGCTTAAACATGCAATATTATTAAGTGTTCTTTGAATAAGCTACAGATGCCATTTAGTGAACTGCAAGTGTTGTAATTACCCTGAAATGGCTCCCCAATAAATGCAATTTCATGCTAATTCAAGGTCACAGTTTTGATACTAAGAAATTTCGAAAATCAAGTATATGTCACCAAACCTCCAACATGATAGGAGAAAGCTCATACCAGGTGATCATTTAGGACTAATTTTTAACAGAAAATCAGTCTCACCATACTCTTTAATTGAATTGAGGGACTTTTATCTTTCCTTCAAGGTACAATAGAACTTATCTGTATTTGGATGCCATGACCAAATGCTAGTCACATGTAAAAATAGAATTTGTTTAGCTTGTTACATGGAATGGAGATGGAGGTGTGCATTCAAATCATAGTAGAATTAGAAGGGGCCCATGAAGGCCATTGTATCAGTCCCTTGCTGTTGCAGGACACCAATTTACACCATTCGACTCAGATGGCTGTCTGGTTTCTTTTTGAATGTTTCTAGTGCTCTAGTGCCCACCACCTCTCTAGACAGCTGGTTTCACTGTTGTATTGCTCTGACAGTAAGGGAGCTTACTGCCAAGTCCAGCCTGAATCTGGGTTGTCACTACTTGAATTGATTATTCCATGTCCTACACTCTATCAGCAAGAAGAGATCTTAACCTTCCTCTTTGTGACAGCCTTTGAGGTTCTTATAGAGGGCTATCATGTTCCCCTCTGTCTTCTCAAGGCTGAACATACACATTTCTCTGTCTTTCTTTATAGGGCAGTGTTTCCAGACCCTGGATCATTTTTGTTGCCCTCCTCTGGGCCCTTTCTAATTTTTCTGCATCTTTTTAAAATCTTGGTCCCCAGAACTGGACACAGTATTCCAGATAAGGTCTGACTAGTGAGGCATATAGAGGACCTACTACTACTTGTGATTTGGAAGTAATACTTCTGTTACTGCATCCCAAAATAGCATTTGCCATTTTGGCAGCTGCATCACAATGTTGGCTCATGTTTAGCCCATTTATTGCCCACAGTTACTCTGAGATCTTTTTCTCTTTCAGTTCTGCTGAGCCACATATTCTCCATCTTGTATTGATCCATTTGGTTTCTTTCTCCTAGGTGGAGAACTTGGCACTTACCCTTATTGAATCTCATTCTGTTCCTTTGAGTCCAATGTTCAAGTTTTGCTCTGGATCTTCATTCTGTCTTCTAGGGTGTTTGCTATTCTACCCAGTTTTGTATCATCTGAAAATGTAATTATCTTTCCTTGTACTTCCTCATCTAAATCATTAATAAAGATATTTAAGAACAATGGGCCCTGGACTGAACCCTGTGGGCACCCCACGAGTTACCTCCATCCAATTTGAGAAGGTGCCAATAAATGGTATGTTGAAATATGTAAGTAATAAATGGCACTAGCATTTCACCATGTCTTCACAGATCAGATATAAGTTTGTATTTCCTGGTTCAACAGTGTGTCCTGTAGCTGGAATGCTCTTAGCATGTGTGTCGTGAGATCTAGAAATACATTTCCCCTGAATAAAATGACATATATATAGTCAATGTACAAAATTGGCAATATAATTCTTTATTTCCTGTAAAAGAATCAGGAATGAAATGGACAGATTGTAAAATAGTACTCTTTCAAGGTAAGCAATGACCAAGTTGGTTGATCCATGTATAAAATGTTAGCACTGGATGTGTTCACTTCACACTTGACATAACAGTACACAAACATGGCTTCTAGAGGTAACGTAACAAAACTGGACACATGAAAAGCATACAGAAATCACATTCTTAGGTTCTAGTATTTGACTATATTAAGTATGTACTGGAGATGTCAACTAAAAGTAGATGACTACTAAAGGTAATGGCTTGAGTTAACATCAGGTACTGATTTAGGCATAGTTTTAACATTTAGCAAGTAACACTAAAAACGGGTCTTGCCAGATGAATCTTCTGGAATTCTATAAGGTCTCGAGGTGGCTAGATGGGAGGGAATGTGGTTTATCTGGATTTCAGCAAGGCCTTTGACAAAGTGCTGTATGATATCCTGCTTGAGAAATTGTTGAGCTTTGTGACAGATTGGTACACTGTCTGATGGACTGCAAGCAGAGGGTGACTATTAGTGGGGAATCATCAGCCAGTGACAAGTGGAGTCCAGCAGGGCTCATTTCTGTTCAGCCTTTTTATCAGTGACCTGGAGGAAGAGATAACCAGTCTGCTGGCTAAATTCATGGGCAATACCAAAGTGGGGGTGGTGGCCACAACTGAGGAGCAGGTGATCTAGATCCAGAAGGATCTGGACAGGCTGTAGAAGTGGGCGGGGGGCAACAGGATGGTAGTCAATGTGGGTAAGTGCAAGTTTTTGCACTTGGAACACAGGAGTAGGTTTCACAAGTCCAGGATGGGGAGAGCAGCACATGTGAATAGGATTTCGGGGTACTTGTTGACAGCAGGCTGAACATGAGTCAGCAGTGTGATGTGGCAGTTAGGGCAATTGCCACCCTTGCCACAAGTGTGGCCTCCAGATCTAGGGAGCTGTTGATACTGCTTTACACAACTTCGGGGGACCCTCAACTTAAGTTCTGTATCCAGTTCTGAGCTCCTTGTTATAGGAGAGAGATAGCTAGGTTGGAATAGTTTGGCATAGGGTTACAAGATGGTTGGCAGGTTGGGAAGGATGACATAGGAGGAGAGATTGAGGGAACTGGGCCTTTTCAGACTGGGGATCTTTCAGCAACTTGTATGTGAGGGGATGTCATGTGGAGAAGAGCTGTGAATTGGTTTTCCCCACAGTGGCAGGCAGGATGCCTTCCAGTCAAGGAACCAGGCTTCACATTGGATGTCAGGAAGTACTTCCTGACACTTAGGACCCCTAGGATATGGAATGGGCTTCCGAAGGAGGGGGTTGAGGCCCCATCATCAGTGAGGATGTTCCAAGGAAAGATTAGATAACCATATGTCGGGGATTACATGAGTGGAGATGGCTGGAGTCGGGGGTCAGACTAGATAGCCTGGGAGACCCCTTGCTTTGTTTCTATATCAACTTTCTGTCCTGAAAAAGCTGAGCCAAGGGGACAAGAATTTTAAAGCAGAAACAAGCTGGTAGCCAAGAACATAAAGTAGACTGATGCCTGCTGATCCCATTTCATAGATGTTATGGCAACACTGATGCTACAGTCCAAATCTGAAGTGCCTGCAACAAATCCACATTATTTGTCTGAGAACACCCAATACTAGCACATGCAGATGGCAGAACTTCAACTGTGAGAAATCAAATCAGGTGGATTACTTCATTGAGAAATGTAGCCTTATATATAGATAGGCAATGGACCATAATCCTGCTAATCCAATTACAAATTTATTTTTTTTTTCATAGTGATGATTTAGATAAGGTTATAGAAGCTTTCACTTAGAAAGCATACTTTCCATCCCCACTTTTAGCAGTTCCACTGTGGTTCTTTTTTTCATATATGGGTGTTTCCATTAAAGGAAGGGAAACAGTTCTGTTTTAAAAAAACCAAGTGACTTCTTATCCACGAGAGTACTGGAGTATGGATCCCTCCCTTTTGAAATGTGTTTTTGAGTTTAGATGGTGGTGACCATCTGAAAGTTATTGATACATTGACTTCTAGACCACGCAGGTAAGATCATGAGTCATTATAAAGTGCAAAACAGGTCTAACATTAACATATCTTCACAGATACGGTTAAATCAACATTTATTCAACTCTGAATGTCTTAATTTCTAAATATTTTACAGATAGAAATATTCAAAAAGAGTTTAAATTGTGTGTACTCATTAAAGATAGGCTTCAGGAGAAATTAATGAAGTATCTAGGCCGAATGGTCTTTTGAAATCAATATTACTATTCAAAGCACATTACTTCAGAGTAAATCTTGCTATGTACTACTAGTTGTCTCACTACTTTCCATCTTTGATCACTGACTGAATTTTAATTAAGTCTGTAGTTTCTTTTTTTGTTGTTGGGTTTTTGTGTTTTTTGGTACACTTGACAGAGAACACTGACTTTACACAATGCATATTAATGGTCCCACTATAATAATCAGTGACAATTCTTGCATACTTATGTATTGCCATACAACCCTCAATAGCATATACATTCAAAAGTCTTAAGATAAATCTGACTGGGCAAATAAGGTTCTTACGGACAGGAAGTTTCAAAAATAAATTAATGCTATGCTTAACCAATTTGCTTTCCAAACTACACAAAGGCACTAGTACATAGTAAGGACTAAAGTCCTGCAAGATTTCAATCAAATTAAGAAAGCTATTATAATGCTGAAACCCAGCTGTCACTAGTAACTTAAAACAGACACTTCAGTGCTTTCAGATTGCATGGGAGGAAATGTTTTGCTATAGGATGGAGCACTTGGAGTAAAAATTTCAGCCCTGAGCAAGTTTTTACAGCTGAGTTATAACCTTGCTTATTTATAGAAAACTGGCATACCCTAAAATAGGATTGATCAAACAGGGATATTCTTTGTGGGACAAGAATGTTTTGGTCTGCAGAGTTACTCTTATCAGTCTTTGTATGTTTTCCAGTTAAAAGAAAGGATAAAGGATTTTCACTATCTTAAAGGGCTGCTACATTTTCCTTTACTTGGCAGCTTACCTTTCCACAAAGATTAATGGATCAGTTTAATATTTCCCAGTTTTGCCTCATATCAAGATATCAGGAATCACCATATTCTATACAGGCTGGATATAACAATATATACCCTCATTAAAAAAAAGTTGTGCTACTTCACTATACCAGCCCACCAAGATTAAACACATCTGTTTCATGTGATGTGAAATTAGAAATTCACATTAGGCCACTGCATAGAAGATATTTAAAAAAAGAAACTTAATTCTTTCCACACTGTTCTTAGTTAAACCCCCTTCTCAAAGCTTTATTTTTTACCATAGTAAATTTACTGATGAATACTTGAGCAAAAACAGAATCAACAAGATAGTGATAAGTCTTAACAGTTGTAGGAACTGGTTCTGCAGCTACAATGTGACCTGTGGTTTGAAGAGATAAAGTGCCAGGTACAAAATGGTAGGATGCTTTTGAAATGTAGTCCACAAGTCTGTTGTACTGTTGTTCAGACAATCTTTCTCTAATTCCATCTGCCTGAAATCAGAGAACACACATTTATTGAACTGTACAGTCTTTTAGCTGAAGCCTAAATTAAATTAAAAGCAGTTACTATTATTAAAGCCTGGGAACCATTGTTCAGCTTTACCTCCAAATCACAAGGAACTCTTTGCTGTTTGAGTTGCACCTTCAGCAGGTTGTTTTGTTCACTGTTTTGTAGACATTCAATTTCCGTCACTGGAAAGGCTTGTTGCTGTGTGTCTTCACTGACACTAACCACAAACAGCACCTCTGAGGTAAGCAGCAAGCATCCTTCATGTTCTTGGCCTGATCCACTCACAATGACCACATCCAAGGCCATGTGAACTTCTGGTCTCCCAAGAGACTGAAGCATTTTCCTGTTAAAATAATAATTTAGGATTAGAAACTTGAGCTCTAAGGATATTGTCAATTGCACCAAGTTTTGCAATGAACCTGCCATAAAAAGCAGTAACAAATCCCTTTTCAGCTTTAAATCAAAATGGTGTCATGCTTACTTTGTAACAATATCAAAACTTCTTTATCATCTGCAGCCAAGCTGACCTAATTGATGGTTACAACTGTGTTCCCTTTGCCCAACTCATTTCTCGTACTAGTGGAGAAATCACCCCAAGAAGCTGGAACCAAATACTGAGCAGCACTCTAGGAGCTACTCAGAAGATACGCTGTACTTGTATCCAGTGCAAAGGCAACTAAAATAAACAAGCAGATCAGCAGCAGAGTTTCAAAGCTCAAAGAAGATCATCTGCTTAAGGCTCTGCAGAGTGGGCCTCTGTGCAGTAACTCTGTGTTTAGTGTTCCTAAATATATTGCAACTCAGCTTTTTCTAGGGCAACTTGACTGCAGGCCATAATCTATTAATGTGGCCATAAAATTAGCAAGTGTCCCCCCAAATTTTACCAGACATATTTGACGTGACTGTTTGGTGCCTGCTCAGCATGTTGATCACTTGGAGGATAACGTGGTTTAGGATGCTGAGAAAGTCCAGCTCCATGCAAAATACCTGTGGTAAGAGAAGTTAAGATTTTTACTAGAGGTCTTTTTTGGAAAAAGGAGCATGTTGCAGTGATGTCATCTTCTTAGAGCAGTCCATAAAATAGCACAGATCCAAAGTGATGTCACATCTTTGGACACTCTAGTGGAGATAATTCATTCAACATTAGAATACAACAATTGTGCACTTAACCCTAGTGGATTTTAGTATTAGCTAACAAACAAAAGGCAGAATGTCAGACACATACTAGCAATTGGGGGAAACATAATGCTCTTGAGGGTTATCAGTCCAGAATAGGATTGAGGATGTCATTTAACAATGTATGCATAAAAATTCAAGATCATTGTTAACTTCATTGGTTCACATTCAAATTCTTCCACGTACATGTCATGATTAGTAAACATTAGAAGGCAAGTTTGCCCTAGATACTGCATTTCAATAGAGGTTACTTAATCCAGCTAACAAACATGGTTCCCAAATGTTTATGAGTTCTCTTGGGGCATCTGAAATATGAAGAGTGTTTCTTTGTGCCAAGGTAGAGCTCTGTGGTGCTGTGTCTTTTCCTGTTTGTTCTGAGCAAAACTGCCAGAGCTAAAAGGTGACCTGGCATGTGTGCTTTCTGATGGCTTGTAAATCTTTATAAATGAAGGCATGGTCATTAGACTGAGAATTAGCAGGGTGTAAAAACTTCACAGATACAATAAAAGTTTTACAAGGCTGATCAAATCTAGACTAAGCATGATGCTGCAGAGCTACAGGGTACACAGAGCTATGCACCAATTATATAATTGGGGATGAAGTGGGGGCAGAAGGAATGGCTTTGACAAGCTACGCACTCTAATGACCCAACAGACATTTCTGCATAAGAGTGTAAGCAACTTAGGAGTCCATTTTATGAAATGAATACCAAATTAAATGATGAATTGGGTTTGAGGGAGGACTACAACTTAATACTTAACACACAAGCTGATGGTAATGTTTAAAAGATGCATTCCAGTTGTAACAATTAGCTGACTGAGGTTTTGCAGCATTATGCAAATGAAAATGTCATTTGCAGTTGGAGAAAGAGAACATGTGTTGACTCCTGTGTGGTCTCCTGCCCTTGCATTCCTCTCATTGGGCTCAGTCCCATTTGCAATCTAGTTGTGGCCAGGATACCCATGCACTGCCATTTAATAGTCTGTGTTACCCTTCTTCCTCTCTTGGGCAGTGGACACAGAACGTGCAACAGTGGTGCAAGTCGTTCTGTGCATGCAAGGCACGTTTGCACTTGTACACTCTGGGTAAAAGCTACTGTCTCCTTCACCTCCACTTTTCAGATTACTTTTCCAACTACAGCAGCTTGTGGCATTTCAAGAGAGGAATGTCTGCTGTTCAAAGGGAAAACACAAAAAACTCTACTGGGTGCTCACAAGCCCTTGGGCCCTCCTAAAGTAGCTCTCTGGATCCAAGCCACTATTTGCAGTGGAGTAAATCCTTATCATTTGCCAACAACTTAAAAACATAAATACATGGAAAGCCTATTACACATAGTATCTTCCAGCTTTGTACTTCTTCCTTGTGGGTTTCAGAGGAACTGATCTTCGCTTATCTTGATTTATTTATTTTTACCCTACTTTTTTCCCAAAGGCACAGTTTCCATTTAAATCAAGCTATCTCAAACTTATGGGGGGGAGGGGGATAATTTGTACACCAGACTTCTAATCACTCAGCAGTTTAAAGATTAGTGCACACATCCACTTTCTGCATCCAGCTTTAGCAAGCAGAATGCCGCTTGTGCAGCAGAACTTTCATGATCTCCTTCCCACTATAGCCCCCTGTGCCTCACTAAAAGCCTCTGCTGTTGTCAGGTAACCTTCAGTAAAGGCCAAGTATATAGTACTGGGCCTGAAGAAAGAGGGATAAATGGGAAGGGAAGCATTCATGAGAAGAAATCCTTCACACAAGCTGCCTCTATTTGATTTTTCTCTAATTTTCTTGCTGCCACATGCTGTGTTCCTGAGGGTCCCTTGAGCCCCAGGAGGGGAATTCAGAGAGCAGAGAAGGACACAGTGAGAAAGAAAGAGCATGAAAGTAACTTTTGGATGCAATCCCTCATCTGTTCCAGATAAATTAGGCAAATGTGCACAGACAAATCTTCAATTTGCTTAGACGTTGAGAAGCCAAGCAGGCTGTGTGGTTATATTCTGTACAACCATGCAGGGTGTAAAATGGTGTTTAAAGATTTAGTTAATGGAAATCTAAATGCCATGTCAGCATAAATGGTGGAATGGCTCGTGTTTTAAAGAGGGGAACCTTGGGCCTGTTAAAGGAAAAGGGATTTTCACTTTATATGAGTAAAATATACTAATTGAACAAATGTCTATGGGACTACAGTATAAGGGGGTAAGTGGTTGGCATACTACACCATGACTGTTTTCCTTAGTGTAAGAAAGTTGAAAACATGTCTTCACTGCTCTTCCCACTACATGCTTTCTAGTTCAGAAACAGTGCTGTACATCTTAATTTGCATGTATTACATTATACTGTGTACAATACAGAAGGGAAGGTACAATTGCCACCAAGAACTATTATGCAGTATCTGATAGTTATCGTACTGTGCACGTGGCTGTTGCAGGTATGTCCTGTTAATCCATATTATTTAGTGCTCAGAAGTATAGCCTAAAACATGGGATTATGACTGTATGGGGCTGTCACAAAATACTCAAACTCTAATGAGCTTCAAGGTCCTTGACAGTTTGGGATCAAAGTATGTGAAAAACCACTGTCTCTCACAACACAATGTCTGCTTATTAAGATCATGCATGGAGAATCTTGAAGTATATTTGGATTGAAGTGGGGCAAAGGCCTGCCAGTGACTATCCCCTGGCTCTGGGCACCCTTCCTAAAGGAAACTTACCTTGTCTGTCCATCAATGGTTATTCAACATCTTTTAAAATCTTTCTTTTTGAGGTGGGTGTTTAATAATGTGTTTTAGACTATTATTTTTATTCTGCCATTTTCAATTTTTGTGCTTGCATTTTATATAGTTCTGCTCTTTTCTCTTGTTAACTATTTTGAAGTCTTTAGGGGAAAGGAGGGACTAAAAATGTAAATAAATAAATAGGAAATACTGGCCTCTGGTGGCAGGAAGACATTCTGAACATCTTAGAAGGTAAATAGGGAGATGCAATTCAAAACTAATTTCTATTAAGCAACTTATATATCTATACCTCTAAAATCAGATCACACAACTATAAGCTTGTGTTGTCTAAAACCAGAAAAGAGTATAATTTTATTAAATTATCCATGCTTTACATTTGTACGTTAGTGGCATAGTAATATAGGCTCTAAATGTATGGCTGCTTGAAAGTTACAGAGCTGCCTCATTTCAGCAGGGGAGAGTAACTTCAAGATGTCTGGGTCTACAACTCCCATCATCCCTCATCATTGTATATTTTGGTTGGGAAGAATGGTCCAAACATTTGAAGAGCTACATGTTGACCATCCTTTCATCCTTAGAGGATTGCGGATGACTGAGATCATCTGATGGGCATGCTGTATTTTCTCTTTGAGTTAGCTTTTAGTATCTTGGAGTAAGGATGAATCTGATGGTTTTATTTTTGAATTTTTATATTTTAACAAGACGTTGATAAATCTTCATGAGGGTTTCAGCTATGGAATGTGTCATTCTCGTAATGGCCTGTAGTTTGCTTTGCTTACCATCACGCTGAATCATGTGCAAGTAAGTAAAGCATAATCACAGTTCTACCTTGAAGTACTTCCAGATTTTGTTCTTAATTGCACTTCCTACACAAATCAGCAACCTATTTTTTCTTTTCTACAGAATATATTTCACCAGTGTTCACTACTACTCAAAAATTCTTTGTAATAAAAAAGGCCTAAATCTTAATTAATAAAATTATAAACCCTTTAAAAGGAAGCTGTGTCAGGAAGAAAGACATTTTCTTGCTTAAATATAATGCAAGTATACAACAAACTACAATTAAAAGAAAATTTGAAAACTGGCAAAGAAACACCATTCATATTCAAAGATTTACTAAAACTTACCATAGCCTGTCTGAGAGACAAGCTCTGCTGCTCCTCCAATGGGCTTAGCAAAAACCCCCATAATTCCTTTTCCTACACCAGAGATAACACCTTTGGCCTTGTGTCCAGCTGAAGCCTGGGCCTCTGATGTTTTCTGGAAGTTCTGCATTGGCTGATCTACAATACCAGCAATCGCACCTATAATGAGAATTCACAAGTATTACAGTACAATAAAATTGTAGAACAGGAGGAAGCTTTGGCTTTGCAATAGTTTTGCTTGGACTGAAAATCTGAATGCCATCTGCCTAATACTGCAATAAGGAATGCCAATTAAACTGAGCAATACCTTTCATTCTCTCTCCCACTCCTGTTTTCCCCTCATGTTTTTCTTTTATATAACATTTACACTTTGTGACTTCATAGTGCAATTTATTATCTCAGGTGCTTTCTTTCTACGTACCTTTGCTGACTTAGTAGAATTTAGGATACTGTGTGGGTATGTGTGTACTGAAGATTGAAACAAATGTCCGCTAGCATCGAGTGCCTTTTAGCTGTTATGGAAATGAGATTTTCATGTAATCCTAAAATTGACTTCATAAGAAAAAAATTCCCAATGTTCCATATATCATTTTAATATCCCCCTTCTATTGCCAGAAATGCTCATAAACTAATGCAACCTTGGATATATTACTCAGCTTAGTAGAATTAGGCTTTGGGACTTTTTGTTACTGTCTTTGTGAACACAACCATATTTTACTTTAATGCGCATGGGTCAAACTTTTACAAGTGCCTTAATGACCCCTCTGGCTTTTAGTATCAACAGAGGACTGCAGCTTAAATCTTCCTAAATGTAAACAGGTATGTAAGGTGGGCTCTCTCTTTGATCTGGAGTTTACTCAAGCCACTTAATGCAGAGATGTCTCTAGCTGTTGTAACTTTGATGGATAAGCTATTTGGAACTCACTAAAAGGACAATGATTGAACAAAGGGACAAGGTGTTACTTGACAGCAATTTGAATCTTAAGTGCCTGAGCTCAAGGTCGTTGTTCAGCATAGAGGAAATCATTGGCTAAAGTCTACAGAGTACAGAGATCAAACAGCAGAGCTGGAAGGGACATCTATTTAGTCCCATTCAGACAATACAAAGCAGACACTATGGACAACTGCTGTTCACTATGTGCACATGAATTCGAAGTTACTATTCAGAAAGACTGGGTCCCTCTGGGGACAACAAACAACATTTTAGCAGAGAGCCAGGTTTAAAAGTGTTCTTGCTAGTCATAACATGAAGTAGCCTCGGACATTCTACAGTCTTTCAACATAATCCCTTCACCTGGTTGCTTTGAGCATAGGATAAAGATACTGCAACCTACTCTTGGAATAAACTGGGAATGAAACAAACTCTGTTGACAAACTTGTGGTTATCAATTTACAAGATGAAAATTTCCCCTTGGTTCATTTACCAAAAGAAAAAGGCAAGCTACTAAAGGAGCTATGAGTATACTCATGAAGACCATGGCATCATAAACTTGCAAAATATTGCTGGGGGGAATTAGATTTTTCTTCCTTTCTTAATCCCATACAGAAGCTTCAGTCATTTGCAACTGTGAACATGCTGTGCAAAACATTTGTGTACCCATCACCACATATAAAGCACATTTATTATTCATAGAAGCTATTAAAGGTTTAGAAAATGCATAATCCTATTTTTAGTGCATTTTCTCAGAAGCACAATTAGAATTAACTTCTGCTCTCACATTTCATCTTGCATTTGAGTGAAGTTACAGACTGCATAACCACTGCATCTTTCTTCTCACAGGGACCACTCAGGAAGGAGCAGTTCATGGTGAAGAAGGGACAGGAGGGAAGGGAGCGCTTAACTGGTTGCTGGACTATCGCTTTCCCCCTGAAACTTCCTCCCCACTGCCCCTAAAATGACATTTCATTTTAGTCTGTCACTGTTCTGACAAGATGCAGGTTTACCTCACAAACACTGGTCTGAAGTCCTATGACAGTAGCTGAGGTTAGTGGGGTGGGGATGGGTGGAAGAGGAAAGGCTAAGCAGACGAGTGTGTAATGGCCATCAGAATATCATTACAGACAACTCTACGAGTGGTATAACTAGGATGGCTACCCATACATCTCCAGAACAGAAGAGACATCACCAAAAGACGGGCATCTATTTTCATAAAAATGTACTATGGCTATTGATATAGATGCACATTGAGAACTAATGTACTTTAAATAGAAATGCAGTGCATCTCACCATAACAGGAAGCCTGTGAACAGGTGATCTGTGTACCTGCTCATTTCGTTGTTTAGATGCTAACTATGGATGGCCAAGTGCTCTCCCAGTTTCTTATACTTTTTAATCTTTAAACTGTAGTTGAATCAGGGAACCCCATGAATACAGGAGGTCTTCAAACAGAGGCCTTCTTTGACAGGCCTTTATACACTAGTCACTGTGTTGCTGTTCCTCTCAAAACTTTTAGCAAGTGGGGGTGCTGAGAAAGTGCTGTTAGACTTCTACAGCCATCTCCCAAAAGTACAATTCCTAAGATTCTGTTCTAAGATGCTGTTGGATAAACAACTTTAAAATCCTTCCAGTCAAGTGGATATATACTTTTCAGTCTTCTTGTATATGTCATTTGTCTACCTGGGCTTTTGATCAAGCTAATGCTTGCACCAGGATATACTGGCAAAGATGGTAGTGCAACTTGGTAATTTTAGACTTAATTTAGACTGAAAGGGCTAATAGAAGTCTGCCTTTAAACACCCATATAGTTATTTCTTTGGTTGTGAAGCACAAAAATTAATATTTTTTTCAGCCTTGTTAAAAGAAAATATGTGAGCACATGCAGTCTCATATTTTTAAATTTGCTTAAATTATACCACCATTATGAAAGACTATATGAATAAAATGGAATGTGCTGCTGCTTCTCTGGTGCTAAACATATTTATCTGGGAATAAGCACAAGTTGGGTGTAGAAAAGAGTACCATATTTGAAATAAAAATGATAAAATGAGGACCTGTAGCTACATATTTGCCTGGCTGACTGTCCCTTACCAATAAAAATAAGAAAAAAGGTTGCTGTGGTGAAGACCAGCCCTGGTGGGCCTCAGCACACTCACATGCAGACCCAGGTGCCAGTGCCAGTGCTGATCCTGCTTGCCAAGGCCCACCACCTGGTGGTCATGGAGTGCTGGGCTGCAGGGTCATGGCCCTTAGCGGTGGGGTCCAGCCCTAGCAGCAGCACTGAGCAAACAAACTAGCATGGATAGGAGTCATACTCCTTCTTGCTTCCATAGTGACTGTTAAAGGGATGTATTTTTCAATTAATGTAATATGTAACTCTTTTGTGATTAATTGTCCTCCTGCCAACTTCCATCTCCACTCCCAGTGTGTAAGGAATCTTAAAATCACAGATTTGTACATATGATGAGGGAAGGAATATTTTCATGTGTAACTGGTGGTGATTACTTTGATGTGTATATACATTTTGCACTCTCTCATTTTACTACTTGATCATATATGTTTCTTACTGTGTGCACTTTACCTTTAAACTATAGCTACAAGACACTGGGACTATTCCATACCCTCGGTGCAAACTTGTTTATTACATCAGAGTTGGCAGGCCAATGAAAGCTAAAAGAGCCATGACAAATATACGTTCCCAGAACTACTGCGACACCACAAGACACTGGTCAATGAAAAAATGGACCAGACCAGAGGTTGCAAGGGAGTATGGATATTATTCACGGGTCATTGTGCTGATAGGCTAGTAGTTCACGGACATGTGCGTCTGTGTTGCAAAAAGATATTTCAGCTTTCTTATAAATATGAGCAAATAATATTTAAGATGAATGTCCATATGCCTGTTAATTCCTCACTTGCAAGATACAATCTAAGTAGTTGATCATTCACCTTACAATGTACTTGTGGATATTTATTTGGATGACTGGCTATTTTTTTTTGTGTGGCTAAGAGTAGTGGGCATTATTTCAGCAATAAAGAATTGTAAACAGAACCCAAGTGATGAGACAAGCTTTCGTTTTGTTTAAGCAAAACAGTGCAAGCAACTATGGTCTAAACAGTTTTGTAAACTGCAGTTCCTCATATGTATCTTGAGTAAAGGCAGCATCCAAGAACAGCCAATAATATAGTATGTTTAAATAAAACAGTAATAATACTTCCAGCATTGAGCCTAATGTCTTTGAAAATTAAGGAGTTCCACAAGTTGACAGTATTGCCATAACAGCAAGACGCTTCAAGGCATTCTCTAGAGAAAATAAATTAAGTAGATCTTATATATATACTTAAGCAAAAAGCAATGGGAATCTGATGATGGTGTGTCTTCTACCATACAGAGGACCTTTAAAAAATGGTAGAAGAACTTGTTAAAGAATTGTTTGCACAGGGCTCTTTAGGATGATGTGGATTCCAGTATTGCAAATCCTGGACATTGTGGATGTATATTAATCACTCGCCATAATTCCTCCCTTGTGGATTCTGTTTCCTCATATCATAGCTAAAATGGAAAATCTATTTTAAAAATGCAAGATCATGTCATTTTTATTATTCATTTTTTGCAATAAATGCCCAGGCAATAAGGCAATGGAACAGCTTGTAAGCTGTTCCTATTCATTTCATTGGTGTTTACATAGAAGACTTTCACTGAGGAATCTGTGATTTTTAACATCATTTTAACATCACAGATGGTAGTCTAGGATCATAGCCTAGACTACCACTACAGGTATTTTCTTTTGTATCATCCTTTTTCCTCAAAATGTATGCTTGCTAGTTCATGGACATTTTCAGTAGCAACCCAACATATGTTGTTGCCTGAAGCAATGGTACGTATTCACTGCTAGGGGACAAGTCTTGTGGCACTGTTCACACACTAAACCCTGCCTTCATCCATCACTACATCATGGAGCCATGTTCTCTATTCTACAGGATGGAGGGCTGAGTCCAGGCTTTTTTCAGTGACCAAGTTAGGAGAGGGCAGAAGGTAGATCTGGATCTACTTACTGGCAGATCTCTGAATTATTACTGAAATTTGCAGGGATTTCTGACTCCTAATTGCGTAAGAAGGGCACTACTTCTCTCTTCCTAAATCATACTCCTTAAATTAAGAAAGATCAGGCTTACCAAGCATGGATTTTTGTGTGCAAGTTCTCTGAGCTCCCATTAAGGGAATGGACAGGAACTCTTCCCATATTTTGCTCAGGAGGGGAGGGGTTCCCAACCAAATGCTCTTAGCTAGGAAAACTTCTCAACAGCAGGCTCCATGCAGGTGCAGCGCCCTGCCTATGTTATGCATAGATGTCTGAAGTCTGTCCACCTCTAGTCTAGGTTATGTCACGCCAGTAGCCTTGAACCAATTGTTTTCATTTCCCCAATTCCTTCCAATTCATCTCAGAGCAGAATTATACATTAAAAGGAATACGTATCTGCTGCTGAAGGCAGCAACCCCTTAATAAGACCCTCTCCATAATGTGCTCTGATGCTATGTGTTTTCTATGTGTTTTTCTCTATACTGGTGGGGACAGGGTGATGCAGCATGACAGGGAGCTTATGAGAAGGAGGACTTGAGATGCAGCTGCAATTCTGGATGGGTGGCTGATTTCACATATAGTTCATTCCTTGCACTGAATTGCATAGCACCAAAAAATAAGAAACAGAACAAATTGTTTCAAGCTAGCCATTTCCATATTTTTTCCATATTTTTATGTCTGTTGTTTTCTAGTAAATTTGGTCTCAAAGGACAGGGGTAGACAATTTGCAGGCCTCCAGCTGTCCTTGCCTACAATTCTGTCAGCTCTAACTGGTACAACCAATTCTGATGGATCATGGGGTTTATAAGCCAAAATGTTTGGAGGGCCACAAACTGTGCAGCACTGCTGTATACTCTCATATACTCCTGATGGATTGGAACCAGAATCCACTTTCAACAGACAGGTGTCTGTTCAAAGAAGGTGCTGCTATCTGATTTCAGGGATCTTCCCACCTGCAACTGCACCAAAGCTTATCCCATTCAGCAGGGTGAGGGGCTGGAGGGGCTGCTGTGGGGTGGGGATGCAGCTGGGCCTGTGTAAGTGTAATCTGGATTCAACTCAAAACCAGGCAGTGCAAATTTGTATTCTTCAAGGATGCATGCACCCTTCCTAAGACACTTCACTTGCAAATGATTTTGTTTGAAATCCTACTTTTACTTAAGGAATTTAAATGGATATTTTTTGCAAACAATGCAACAAACACACTTTTAAACATACATTGTGATTTTCTGCCACAGTGGAGCATTTTCAGCTGCAGCTTTAAATATAGCTATGTAAGGCTGCTGTGATGTGGCTGTTATTTGCTGGAGAAATAGTTTCCATAAAAGTTTACTTAACATTTGAACTATACTCAAGTGGTTTTCAAACAAAAATAAGCATGCAAGTTATCTATGATGCAAAGGAAATAATCAGTTTAAGAGGTTTTCCTATAACTCATTAAAGGGAAATGCTGGAATGACTGAGTCTTTGTACCTTTCTTGCTTTTAAGATGTCATGACCAAAACATAAGAACATGCAAAGACAATAATACCCTGCACTTCTAAGCAGCCACAATTGCTGTTTTATATGCAGCTAGCTTTTCATTCTTGAAAAAGTTTATTCAACTTCATTCACAGCAGAAGTGTTTAAAAATTTGTCTAGCTGCAATGCACTCAACACAGATGATAGTGGTGGTGGTGGTGATTTCATATTTACACCATCCCACAGCCAAAGTTCTTTGGATGGCTCACAACAGTATGGCTTTTAATACTGCATTGCAGAGCAAGTTACTTGTTCTACCAGGACTTGAGCCTACAGTAGATCCTCAGTTTGGAATGATTACAGGCCAGGATTTACTGGGAACTACAAGATGAAGAGAACTGCGGATGGAAGTCACACGTTGAAGTTGCAAGAAGCTTCTTCCATGATTACAGGGGCTTCAGGGGCCATACGGCAAAACCTGACCTCCAAAATAGCTTCCAGAACAAACTTGGTCTGAGCCAGGATTTCACATAAACTTTCCTTCCTTCTGAATGTGCTTCTTTTTGTAATGGTCCCTGTTATAATCTGTTCCAGAGATGTGACAATTCCATGTGCCATTGCATGCAGTCTGCTGCACCTAAGAGCTTCTATAGGGTACCTCCTGCTGCTCCCCACTAACCCATACCTAGACAACTCTTTTCTGCAAAAAAGCAACAGCTCCTCCTGCACTTCATTTTTTTTTTTTTTTTGAAAGGAAGGCAGGAATGATGGGGGTGGGGATGCAGTCATCCTTGCAAATCCAACATGGATCAGTAACAGTTCCTGGCAGGGGCCTGGTTGGAAGGAGGGAGGCTCCACCTCCTTAAACTTCCCAGAAACTTCATGCTCTCCCATAAAAAAGGGCAATCCCATGGTTTCAGAGCTCATCCTGTTGCTGACCCCTGGCACAGATTCACTTTCTGCTTGGCCTGGCCATGACAGCTGCTGGTATTTGTTCCGTTGGTCCTATTCCCTTCACTTGTCAATGGCTGGGTCAGAAATAAACTTGGAAAAATACCAGTAAGCTTCTGCTAAATGGGAGAACTAGATGAACTAACAGCAGAGGAACTGTGCTTCCATCAGCACAGACTGTATTCCTCCCATTCAAGCCCTCCATCCTCCAGTATCTTCACACACCCCTACTTACTCGCCTATTTCTCTGGCAGACCCAATCCTGCTTTTGCCTCCTAACCCAGAAAATGCTACTCAAAAATACAAACAAAAACTCTCTCAAGTGCTTAAATACTCCCTTTAACACAAATTGCAAATAAGGATACACATTTTGAGGCTCTATTCAGATCACACTCTCTCCAAGACCTAACAAGATAAAACCTTTCTCATGATTATTGATGAGGGGATTATTGAACAGTCACTCTTGCTCTGGTAACCTCTTGGCTGGACCATTGTAACAGACTCTATGCAGGGCTGCCCTTGAAGATGGTCTGGAAATTCCCACTGGTACAGAACAGTGCAGCGCAACTGCTTGGACCATGTACCCATATGACTCCAATACTGTATCACCTTCATTGGTTACCAGTTGAGCTCTGGGCCCAATTTAAGGTGCTTGTTTCCACATATAAAGCCCTAAATGGCTTGGAACCAAGACACCTGAAGGACCACCTGCTCCTTTTAGTACCTACCTAGCCCTTAAGATCAGGTTCAGAAGCCCTTCTGAAAGAGCCATCCTCCAAGGTGGTAAGGAGAATGGCTAACAGAAAAGGGGCCTTCTCAGTAGTTGTGCCCCACCTGTGGAACAGCCTCCTGAATCAGTTCGCCTGATGCCAGCGTTACCCTCTTTTTGGTGCCAGGCAAAAACAACTCTATTCTCTTAGCATTTTAATACTTGATTTTATCTGGATAATTTTAACTAGTTTGTTGTTTTAATTTACACAGTTCCAAATTAATTGCCCTCAGCTGTGTACTGTTTTGTTTGTCTTTTGATATTATTTTTAACCACCTGCCTTTATTGTTATTGTTATGACATGTTTCTATTTGACTGTAATCTGCTTAAAGGGCCCTTGGGCCAATCTAGTGGAATATAAGTTTTAAAGAATAAAATAAAATAAGATCAAGTATCTCTTACCTAGGAGGCTGATGCCCAGTCGAGAGAGGCCTTGTCGCAAGCCTTCTCCCAGATTCTCAGGAAGTTGCCTCCTCCATTCTTCTTGTCTGTTATAATGCTCTTCATCCAGTGACAGCCTATCCATATTTCTTGCAAGGCTTGTTGCCAAGTTGGTTATGGATGTTAGTGTACCTAAATGCATACAGGTTAGAACAGGAAATTAACATTTGGCTTACAATTTGTGTGATCAAGCTCCTTCATTGGCAAACAAATGGCATACAATTTTGCCTGGATGATCAAGGCCCATGAAACAAACTCTGTTTTAAGAATTAATTTCACTGGTGTACTGTGCAGCTTTTACATAGCCGTTCAAGCCTTCTTTCTTATGCAGCCTGCTGCAACTGTCCCCAGCCAAATCTCTCATTAGCAATTGCTAAATTAATGCAATTGCAATAATTGCCAGACATTAATATCATGTCTGCAGGGTGACTGCAGATCAGAAAATCCTGTCTGCATTGCTCTAAGCTGCGTGCAGTGCAGTAGCCTTCTCCATACTTCGAAGCAGCTGTATTCTGCAGCTGGGCTTTGAGGCCACAAGATGGCACTATGTCTGTGCCCTAGCCCAGGAAAATCCAGATGTATGTGTGCTTGTCTCAAAAACATGTTCAGCAACACTAAACAACAGTTCTTCTTTCTTTCTTTTAAAGTTTACATATCATGAGGCAATGTGGTGGTGGATTTCTGAGGTCCAGCAGTAGTACTTAAGTTCCTAAATCTCCATTCAGTTACAGCATGACAAAGTGGTCATGCAGGAAAGCTTACATCACAAACGTGTCTAGGATGTTGTTGTTAATGAAACAATCTGTTTAAAAAACACAGAAGGTAGTTGAGGTTTGTTACCTGCCCAGCAATTCATTCAGACTCAACTAGACAGAACCAAGCTGAGAACAGCATATCCACCTAAAAGCCTTAGTGCTTTTCTGTAAGATTCCTTGGCAATAAGGCCGCAGGAAAAGGAGTGGACCGAGATATCTACCTTTGGAAATGTGCTTTACAAATGATGTAGTTCCTCTGGAAACTCCACTAACAAAGGCTCCAGGACCCCGGGTCAGCCCTTCATATGGAAGTCTGAAGAAGTCAGCTATCCCACTTCCTATGCTTCTTACCAAACTGGCCGGGCTGCCAAGAATTTCCAGAGAGCCAACAACCCACCCTGCATGAACAGATGAGGGAGAAAGAGTTGATGGTTACTAAAATCACAGAAACAGCATTTTTGTTTTGTTTTTTTAAGTTAGAAAAAGCCCTCTATTCTCTCCCTCCCCTCATCCCATTTTTACACTAAAATTTATCACATCATGAACTTCCTTTGAGAAAAACACGGGAAATAGCTCATCCACTACGGATTCAGCAATGGCAATCTTTCATGCTTTCTAAATCAAAGAAATCCCTTTGGCAAAAACACAAATAGCTTTAAAATGACTTCCTTCCATGAGCCTCCCGTATTTCTGCTAAAACTGCGTGTGGAGAGATGGATGCTGCATTCAAATGACTTGAAGTAATAGGAGCAGAGGGTTATTTTGCTTAGGAGGCTTTACATTTTGCAAAGCAACTTTGTTATTTCACGTCCTCACAGCGAAAGAATCATGACAGCTAGTTTACAGTGATACAGTGTACAGCCTTGTGGGAGTGTGAAGGTCAGCTGCTTGATGGGGTGTTGGGAAAGGGGATGCAGATTTTTGACAAGTGCGTAAGGAATTATTTTAATCCACCCCAACAGCTCTGTGCTGATCACTTTCGTGTAGAGCCTAGTTATAGTCAGATAAATGGCTTTTTGCTCAGCACAGTTGTGTAAACAGAAATGGCATTTGCATGCTGATTAAGTTACTCAAAGGGAGGATCCCTTATGTGTTCCCCTCAAGGGGATTGAGGGTGGAAGATTCCTAGGATTTAGTTTCCTACATAAAATTGCAGTTGCTGGCAGATAGCCTGATGTCCAAGCAGACTGCCCTTTGCTACAAGCCGTGCTTCACTGCTGGATTAGAGGTCAACACAGAATTAAAAGGGACTGTAAGGACACAACAGTTGTTTGCAGCAGCCAACAGAATGGCATCAGGAAGGCTACAGTCCTACTCCAGGGAGCATAGCTTATATTATGGTGGCCAGAGTGGGTTACACCTGCTGGGTTGTGCATGCCCCTAGTGGTCAATTGAGGTGTTGATTATAATGGGAACACAACAGGTAAGTAACTTCTCACATCAGCAATTTTCACTCAGTGGTGTATTCTGCAAATCATTATGTGAGGAGAATATATAATTATTAATGCAGGGATAAGTCAAGGTTATACGGATAATTAATTTAATTTAATTTAAACATTTATATGCCATGCTTTGCAGCAGCCTCAGGACAGCTTGCAGAATTAATTTCATACACCACCTGATCTGCAAGCTTACAGGTAAAAATAATTTCTACATTAAAGTGCTCAATACAGGGAGCTGCTTCATTGAACAGAACATAAAAACTAACGTTTAGAAAAAGACACAAAAGAGAGTCTTGTGGCACCTTAAAAAGATTTTTTTTTAAATATCAAAACATAAACTTTAATGGGCTAGAGACCACTTTGTCAGAAACTGATCCTTGAATTCTGCAGCTAAAGGTCATGAAACTAAACTGCTCTGTTTTTCATCTGTCCTTTTTGGCTCCTGGTATATGAAACAGTGTGTCTTTCTCTGAAACTCTGCAGTGAGTCTAAACTGAATTAAAATCATTTATAAAAGTGTCATTCACCTAGAAGAGAGAACTCCTGTAAGATCATCTTAGGGTAGAACATTTTCTATTGCCTTCACATGCCACATTTCCTACCTCAATAACTTATGAAGAGCAGTGCTAGATCAGACCAAAGGCCCACCTAATCTGGTACTCCCTCCATGCAGTGGCCAGCCAGCCCATGGGAAGACCAGAAGCATGACGTAAGTGCAATGGCATCTTCCTGCTCACGTTCCCCAACAACAGCTATATATACGGCTGCACACTGCCTCCATTACTGGAGCTAATTGATAGCCACCATGACTAGCAGCCACTGATAAAATTTTGAGGCCACCCCAGTTGGTGGCTGTCAGTACATATTGCAATAGCAAATTCTATAGTTAGACTAGCGTGGTTTGAACAAGTATTTCCTTTTAGCAGTTCTAAATTTCCCATCATCCAGTTTCATGGGATCTCCTTGCATTCTAATATTACAAGAGAGGGAAAATAATATTCCCATGCACTTTCTCTACACCAATTTTGTACATATCTATGTTCCGCTATATTCATCTTTTTTCTAACCATAACAGTCTCAGGTATTGTAAGCCTTCCACACAGGAGACTCACTTCACCCCTTGATCATTTTGGTTCTCTCTTTTTGCAACTTTTCCAAGTTTACAATATGACTTTTGAGGTGTAGTGACTAGAACTGTGCACACTATTTGAAGAGAAGTCATACCATAAAGGTCCAGAATGGGTGTTGGCAGCATTCTAAGAGGGCTGCCTGTAATGTCAGGGAAAGCCATAAAGCCAGCTTCCCCAGTTTGGTGCCCTCCATATGTTTTGAATTTCAACTCTAACCAGCTGCAGTCAGCATATCCAAAGTCAGGAATGCTGAAGTCACGATCCAAAATATCTGCAGGGCACCAGGTTGGAGAAAGCTACTGTAAGGGATCCTTCCAGATCGCATGCTTCACTGGTGCTACAAAAATGTTGATCTCTTTATTGATTATTGAGCTGGCCTGTGTTCCATTCTCATATGTGAGTGAGAGAACTGCTATGAGGACTGCTATGCTTATGGATGGCACAACTGAATGAACAAACAGCAACATCAGAAGCTGGCTGGTAAACACTTTTCAGTGTTTCAAACAGAGGTCCTTCCCACTCTGGATTCTTTTGCGGGCAAGACATGTGTGTTGCCACTGAGTTAGGACTCCTCCCAGTTTGTGCTTGTCCACAAGTCTATATGTCACAATGGGGTTCTGCATGGACTGAAGTCTCTGCATGGCTACACAATGAGGTTCAGGCATGTTCAAAGAACACTATCACGACAAATAGGACTATCTAGATCTGCCATAATGACATTCACATGGGTTCTGGACAGCATGGGCTTTCTTAATTATACATGACACACAATAAAATGTTCTCTTCCTAGCTACTTAAAGTGACAGAGATAGGCATAAAGGAGTTGGAATAGTAGAGGACACAGCAGCAATTGGTATAAAGGAAGATAATAATCAAGTTTCAACAAAAGCAGTAATGCTTTGGTTGTGATGATCAAAGGCAGCCTCCCTACCAACTGCAATGTACATGTTCTTATGTAGGCAAAGGTATAGCAGGGATGGAGTCACTTTATGAATGCACATGTATGGAAGTGAGACGAGGTATCCATTAATCTAATAGACTGTTTGCTCACTATTGATCTTGTATGGGAAAGAATCAGTAAAACAAACACACTTCTCAGATCAAAGGACAATAAACATCTGCGTGCCAGTCTAGCATGAGGATTCTGTGAAGAAAGACAGATTGCTAATCATAAACGGCAGCCAAAGGGAGATTGAACAAGAAAACAGTGTTCAATGGCATAATATGCTTCAAATGTATAGAGACAGATTGAATAATTTCATGAAAGAAATTCCTTTTGTGAGTCCATGATAGGGATTAGTTTTGAATTCTGAGTTCTGCAGGCTGGCTGGGACAGCAAGAAGAAAAACAGAATACAGTGCTGTTTCTCTCAAGCTTTGTGTTTCTCCTACAACAGGCCAACTGCTGCTCTCTACTACTTCATGTTCATGCTCCTTTAAGTGTCATTTCATTCACCTCCTCCATAAAGAACACATTGCTGAAGACAGTATTCATTTCTTTAGACACATAGTCACTGTGTAACTGCACAGCAATTAAAATGAAGCATCAGATTGGCATTAGTAACTTTTGAAAGAAACAAAAATGAAAAGCCAGATTAAGCTCACTACTGGCTTAGGGGATAAGGGTTCACCCAACTTCTTTGATATGTAAGAATGACCAAGATCTTCTTGGCTTCCTTAATGCAAAGTGTCATTTATCACTGTCATATAGTGCAGATATGAGTTTGCTGGTCATCCTCAGTGTAACTTTAATTGCCAACTTTCAGTAATATGATCATAGGTGCCAAACACCTGGATACTTGAACTCAAAAGATACAACAGGATTATAAAAAGCAAACATACCTGCTCTGAATAATGCTCCTGCAGCATAATGCATGGCCAATGCATGAATGAGCTGCCTGGCGGTTGTGAAAATGGGTCCACGTTCAAATACAGAGAAAGAAAGAGGAGTGTGATCTGAAGCTATATATAGCTTCAACGAGGCATGGATGCTGACCAGGAGACTAACTGGTTGGATTGCTAACTTCCTCAATTTCACTGGATTGACTAAAGCATTTGCATGCTGCCTAACATGTTCAGGCAGTATCTGGCTAAGAGCTGAGCCGTTTGTGGGATGGTAAATGGCTTTTCCATCTGGCAGGTAGGTCTCAAATAAAGTCTTAATGTAATAAACAAATGTGTCTTCCACATATAACCTGGCTGGCTTCATTTCAAAGCTGAGGTCATTCACATGAAACAGCAAATTCTGCTCTTCTGACAAAGTGAGGCAGAGCTTAATGAAGGAGTTTTCATTATATTCTTCCAGATCTTTATTGGATACCATAAGGTTGTGCCCTTTGGTCCACTGTATGGTTTCATTTTTCTCTCCCTGGCATAGCAAGACTGGAAAATGAAAGTTGGATTTGTTGTAAAGTTGATTGTCCAACTGCAAGTCTCCACAATAGACCTGGAGAGTATAAAACTGCTGAAGGTCACTGGTGACTTCTCCATGAAATTCGTGAGATAGAGGTCGAAGGCAGCTGGCAACTGGAATCATGTGAAGGTAAATGTGGTCCGCTGTGAACTGTAGAAGCTCAGATGATATTTTCGGGTTTGTTATGTCATCATACACAGTTAGGCTCAGCTGACTAATGAACATTTTAAGTGTGAGGCTCTGCTCTTGAGTTCTGGATGGGAGAAAAGAACAGCAACAAGATTCTTCTGATTTCAAATGGAAATTAAATCAAACACAAGTGTGTTAATATGAGGTAGATTTGGGGATCCAAATACCTATGGTCAGCATATACAGAGATATATTATTGCTAGTCTGGGCAGGTCACACCTTCTCTGCCTGTTTAACATAAAATGAGGTTCAAACATTTTTGCTTTCCTGTTGACACTTTACATACAGTAGTTCTCAGTCATATAGCATTTGCAATACAGCATGATGCTAAAGCAGATAATAGAAAATGTTCTCACGTGTTGTCAGATGTTACATTGGCTCTTTTCAGGAGACAATATGGAGTGCTTCTTTTATGGATCATTAACTCCACATTATGGAAACAATATATTCCCCTGTTAAATCACCACAACTATGTTAAACTTATGATGGGGTTGCTTGTTTTATAGCAGCCACTGTTCTCGGCCAAGCTTAACCAAAAAGTAGGCTATTAAGCACTGATAATCAGTAATTTCATGGGAATTCATACTTAATTGTAGGGCATATTTTTAAAATCTGCACTGACACATTCTGCTGCATGATTCACCACTAGAAGCCAAGCATTTTGACAGTTATAGAGAGTTATGATTCAATTGGACTGGAGTTTGCAATGAAGAATTTGCAATTTTAGGGCATAGGGAAGTGCAATAAAGATGATCAACTACATAGTTTCCACAGGACCATTCTCCTGCCCTTCATTATGAGTGAGAACTCTCACGGCCCTCAATGGGAGTTCTGTGTAAGCAAGGGCTGCCAATCTGGGCAAATAAACTTTAAACGTTTAAGTCCTCCCTGAGCCTTGTTTATTGTACCAGGAATTTCATGTTTATCTGAGAGTGACATGACCTCAGATGTTAGATTGTCATGTTTTACTATGATATACAAAACATTAACATGTGGTCTAAACATACGCCACACATACACGGTGACACTAGACAAAACAACAGTTATGCTAGATTTAATAAGTCACTTCACACCTAGAGGGCTAAACAGCTACAGAGGACAAGTTTCTTTGTATGCCTTCAAGTCATTTTTATATACCTGTTCAAAATGTCTTGGTGTCCTGGTCTTCCTTCAGGTGCCAAAGTGATCATTATTGTCCCACACTGATGAGCAATATCCACATAAACATAGCCAAAGCCAGTTAAGAACACAATCTGGGGGAAGAAGTTGTACTTAGACATCTATAAGAAATCACCATACCTTGAGCCAATATTGTTAATACTCTCTGAACCAAAAGCACTTACTCATGAGGAATACTAGAGACTATGCAGAACCTGGTTTCTCTGAAAGTCACCAGAACTAGATGCTCAAGGAGCACCTGGTATAAACCATTTTTGCCTTAATGTTTCTTGCCATTTGCCTTCCCTCCTTACACATGCTAGTACAGGTTTATGGCAATTCACTCCAGCAACTCTTTCTCTGAGACTGACAATGCAAATGGCTTGCAGTATGTGTGTACTACTGCACAAAGGGCAACCTATACATTCTCCACTCCCCTCAAACCCTGCAGTCTTTCAATACCAGGCTTGGATTCTGGCCCAGGAACAGACAGAACCTACATCAGTAGAATAGGCAAGAGAGATGAAAGTCTCTTATTGCTTGTACAAAGTGAACAATGGAACTCTAGGCAAATTGACTAATCATTATATAGGATTATAATCAAAACTTGTTGAGGTAAAGTTTTTGTGTGTCTAGCCACATAATTCAATTTGTATTCTTATTCAACCTAGCATACAAAAATGAAATTTATTAATAAGACTAATACTACAGCATGTAGCTTGTCTGAAGCCTTTAAAAGTCATGTGTATGAAACAGTCTTCCTCACCCAAAACAAACAAAAAAGGATTTGATTATTTCTGATTTGATTATTTTTCCTTTTTTCCTTTTTCTACACAGAGGCTAATTCACAAATGCCTTTCCAAGGAAACTGAATTGGCTCATTTGCTCACATGTGGACTTTATACTGATAGGAGAACATAATATTCAAGGTTCCCGATTTTCTGCCTTGATGTTCAATTCACCCTGTTCTTCCTCCTGAATGTGAGCATCTCTCTTTTTTCTAAATAGGAAAAGTGCACATTTCTGAACACAAAAAAGGATCATTTTTCTAAGTGTGCAATACAAACATGCACTTCTCATAGGCCAAAGCACAAAAATGTACTAAGGGAGAAGTGCATACATTACTTTTGAATATAAACTGAAGCTTGGGCAATTATGAATATTTCCAAAGAAGTACACCTCTACTAATGTTTACATTTGGGACCATAAATGGGACATGTTTACAGGATTTGCAAACAAGAATGTAATTCTCATACAGCCCTAGAATTGCTGAGTAACTCTAGTGAGGAGCTACCTTGGATCAGAGAAGCAGGAGAAACCCTGTTGTGTTTGGTGACTCACAAAGCTGTGACATGCTTGTTATGAATACACACCCTTAGCTCTATGCCCACTACAATTACAGAGACCCTGCAGATCTGGACCAGGGTCCAGTTTCTGACACCATACCACTCTCTGTGGCATTATTCCTGTTATCCAATCCTAGAGAGGCAAAGTAAAGGTTGGTTCAGACTGTTAGGCACTCAAATTTAGGCTCAGATCTAAACTGCTGGAAAAGCAGGGGGAGAGAGAGAGAAAAAAAAACCCTAAAAGAAATGTCAGAAAGGAAGATTCCTGAAGGAACATCTTCTGCAAACAAGAAGTCTCAGGAACCATCTTTTAAAATAGAAGAAATCATAGCTGTCCCCTAAATAAGATATTTTGTCCCTTTTCCTGGATAAACTGGGCAATGTATTTGTGTGGCAAATTCTTCTTATATACTAACTTCCTTCCAAAGGTATTTGCAGAAATGTATACATAATTTCTTCCTTTATTAGTATTAAACTTCATAGGCTTCTATTATTCAAACTTAGTATCCAGGATTTCTCTCTGTTCTGTGATTTGCTAAATGCAGTGGCATCAGTTTCTTTTAACTGAGTGACAATAAAATAATTGAAGATACCACAGTTTAGACAGAAGCATATTTGTAAATGAATTTCTCTATGGAATTATTATGGCTGTTGATGCTGCTTTGGAAAGAAAGTACATAGCGTATCTCGAGGGGCTTTCATGATTAAAACTTAGAAAATTTTAATTTCCTCAGAAACTTATATACAGGCAACACTAAAGGAAGAACTATTTTTCATTCTTTCCAGCATTATAGTTGAGAAATAAGATAAAGTAATGGGGCTGAGGGTGGAGGAACAAGGAAAGGAATAAGAAAAACATTAGTAAATGTGCAATGTTGAAACTACTTTTTGTAGACACCAGTACTTGATCCAAAGACTTCAGAGGGGAGTATTTCATTCATGGAAAACCTCTTTGTGAGTTTCAAGGCGAACTCTGAATCTCACATTAAAACCCACACAGAAAGTACTCATGGCCTGACTGTTGGAAAGTCAGTAGAAAATCATTATGTGACACACAGTAGTTTGCAAGATGTAGTTTCAAGGATTGTTCTTGGTTTTAAGTTAACAAAACTAACAACTTGCTATGTTGTTATAGCTGTAGCATGGTTTACTTTTTCCATAATCAAAGTGCAACATTTGTTTTTTATGGAATCAGAAACCAAACAGCAGCATGTAGAGCGGATGTTATACAGCTATACAACTGCAGGTTGAATACACAGGCTGAGCAAGGTCACTTACTGAAACTGAAGATCTACAATGAAAATCCAACAGTTGAATGGAGCAATGATCGTAAGTCAATATAGTAAAAGCCTTCAATGAGAGCCAAACGACATGTGACATTTATCTTATGTTTACCCAGCATGGAGGATTTTTTTTCCATTCAGAAACAGACAGTGGAGGAAAGGCAATCCAGATTGGGAACCTAGCATGAGGAGTAAGGGCCCTTTAACCTCTGTGCAGTGCTGATCCAGATTGCTCCACAGCTGCAATTTTAATGTGGAAAAAGCTTCTACTTGCTTCAGTGAGACTCTCTTCCCCATGCAAATTGCAGGTGTATGGTCCAAATGCAAGATGGGACTACAACAGGGGAGCCCTTCTTGCTGGGTATTTCTGAAGGAAAAAAATCCCATGCAATTAATATTCATCACACATCTGGTGCCAAGAGTATGTGGAATCAATGCCAACTTTGTGATTATGGTTGCAACAATTTTGTGATATTTGGACCATATAATCATAATTTCAGTGTTACGTATTACTTTTTAGGACGCAAGTGGTGCAGTGCATTAAACCATTGAGCTGCTGGGCTGTTGACTGGAAGGTTGGCAGTACAAATCCATGGGATGGGATGAACGCCCACTGCTTTGTCCCAGCTCGTTTACCTAGCAATTTGAAAGCATGCAAATGCAAGTAGATAAAAAGGTACCAGTTCTGTGGAGAGGTAACAGCATTCCATGTACTTCAATGTTTAGTCATGCTAGTCACATGACCATGAAAATGTCTTTGGGCAACGCTGGCTCTTCAGCTTACAAACAAGCAAAAGGCAGGCTAGATTGTGCAGCCGTTAGGTGGCTCCACAATTGGTTGCAAAATTGGACTCATCAATGGCACATTCTCAAACTGGGGAGTGGTGATAGGTGAGGTGCTGCAGCCTTCTGTCCTGGAAGCAGCACTCTTCAACATTTTTATTAATGACTTATATGAGGAAATACAAGGAAAGATAATTAAATCTGCAGATGACACAAAGTTGGGTGAAATAGCAAATACCCTGGAAGACAGAGATAAGATACAGAGTGATCTTGGTAGGTTAGAACGCTGGGCAGAGAGCAACAGAATGAAATTCAATAGCAACAAATGCCAAATACTTCACTTAGGAACAAGAAACCAAATGCACTGCTACAAGATAGGGAACACTTGGCTCAACAATACTGCAAATGAGAAGGATCTTGGGGTTGTAGATCACAAGCTAAATATGAGCCAACAGTGTGACGCAGTTGCAAAAAGAGCAAATGCTATTTTGTGCTGCATTAAAAGAAGCATCACTTCCAAAACATGTGAAGTACTAGTTTCACTATACTCAGCACTAGTCAGACCTCACCTGGAGTACTGTGTCCAGTTCTGAGCACCCAAGTTTTAAAAAGATGCCGAAAAGCTAGAAAGGGTACAGAGGAGGGCAGCAAGGATGATTCAGGGAGTGGAAGCAAAGCCCTATGAGGAAAGATTGGGAGAAATGGGCATGTTCAGCCTCAAGAAGAGAAGACTGAGGGGAGAGATGATAGCACTATACAAGTACCTCAAAGGCTGCCACAGAGAGGAAGGACAAGATCTCTTATCATTCATTTCAGAGTGCAGAACACAGAATAATGAACTTAAGTTAAAAGAAACCAGATTTCGATTAGATACCAGGAAGAATTTCCTCACTCTCAGAGTAGTACCACAATGGAAACTATTACCTGAGGAAGTTATGGGTTCTCCCTTGCTGGAGACATTCAAAAAGTCTTTGGACAGTCTTCTAAATAGAATGGTGTTACTTAGCATCCTGCAATAGCAGGGAGTTGGACCCAATGGTCTTCTGGACCCTTCCAACTCTACTGTTCTATGATTCTATGTTGGATCATCACAAATGAAAAGTAAAATTAGCTGTGGTAGTTTTTTGTTTTTTGGGTTTTTTTTTTATTTTTGAAGATTAACCTTATCCCTGTCATTCCTGTACTTGAAAAGCACACCCATGTTTCCAATGTACTCAGCTGCTGGAATTCATAAGCATTCAATCTCAGATAACACTGAATAAACATGGAGGCCTAGAAGAGGAAGTGTGCAAACTCTGAACAAATCAAGAAATACTTGTTGAATGCCATGGGAAGTCTGAGCAGCTAATAGAATAGGACCAAGTGCAAAGTGGCAAGAAAAGCATTGTTTTCTCTCAGAAATTATGTACAAGCTGTAACTGATGGCTACTTATTATATTTGCACAACTACAATCCACAATAGTGCCACATTTTTCCAGGCCTGATCCAGTCTACCACAGATGTAGTACCAAAGCATGGAGGAATCCCAACAGAGACAGTAAAAAGATGGTTTTCCTACCATCACCACTTCCTCCTCCATTACATGTTTTGCATCTGGTTCAATTTCAGATTTTTGAGAAGGCAACCCGGTATGCACCCCAGATATTTGAATGACAATATCCATATGTCCAAGGCAGCATGACTTTTGGTCTTATAGGAACTATAGTCAGTTTTAAACAAACAAACAAACAAACAAACATCTAGAGGGTGCTTACAGCCTGATCTAGATTCATGTCTATGTGGTTTCTGGCAAAAGTTTGGTACATCAACCTTTACCAGAAAGAACGAACTTGGGAATGTGTCCCTGTTGATTGTCTTGTATCTCATTTGCTACCATTGACTACTATCTCCTTCAGAACCTATTGTCTTGGATGGGAAGTGTGTTGCAGTGATACTATTCTTGTTTCAATGACTGATTTTAGAAGGTGGTGCTGGGCACCGCCCCAGCAATTTACTGCTGCTCTGTGTAGTTTTTTTTTTAAAATGTTGGCAGTTTTATTGTTTTGTATTTATATAACAATCAGATATATCTGGCTGAAGAAAAGTTGATAAATAGGCAAAACTTAAATAAATATTTCCCAAAATGTAGGTGTAGTCTTCTGGATCATAGCCAATGTGGTTATATTCTGAATAAATCTCATAGAATAGCAGTTTAGTTCATATGTTTCTAACATGCACTCTGCTGCAGAAGAATTTGTCCAGTCCACTAAAAATCATCGTTCAATTTTAAAGTTATTACTCAGATCCACATTTTAGCTCATAGTTTGACAGTAGAAATGTTACTTATATACATACTGCCTGACAGGGTAACTTAGCAATTAATTGACTTAAGAGCAGAGTTGTGTTATTTACTCTAATTGCATCATCATGCCACATGCTTAACTCACTTAAGAACATAAGCAGGGCCATGGTGCATCAGACAAAGGGCCCACTTAGCCCAGCATTCTGTTCACACCCTGGTGCAACAGCTGCTCACGGGAAACCCACAAGCAGAACATGACTGCAACAGCACCCTCCAGCCCATATTCACTGGCAACTGGTCTATACAGGCGTACTGCCCCCGATACTGGCGGTAGCTTAAAGTCATCAGGAACAATAGCCAATGATACCCTTAGGTTTATCCTCCAGGAACTTGTCCAGCCCCTTTTACAGCCATCCAAATTGATGGCTCTAAAACATATGGTATTGTATCTATTTTCCTACTGGTGATGCATGCATATTTGCTTAGTCAGGCAAATAACCCTAGAATAGAGAAAGTGAAGAGAAAGACACTTTCCAAAGTCAACCATGTTATGAAAAGTTGGATGAATTATATTTTGTTTCTGGACTACCCTTATCTTGGATTACAAATGTCATTAGCAGCCATAGCACTGCTCTGATACATGTAATAGTATCTTGCTAAATTATATCTTTGAAGATTTCCTAATGGCAATTAATTCTACAGGTCAAATAAACACAGGAGAGGAAGTATTTCTATTTGGTTTCTTTACATGTCTAGGCATTCCTTTTCACCAGGGATCCTTTTAATCTTGCATTGTGGAAAGTGCTTTTTTGCCCTTGCAACTCCTGCCTGTTTCTGAACACTTCAATCAAATAACTTTGGAACCTGAGCCAAAGCTGACTCTGATAGTGGATGGCAGATGTGAATTTCAGTAAATACATATAGAGCTTTCTTACAAAAGGAAGAAAGAGTACTTAGCTCAAATTAAAGACCTGTTAATTCTCTAAAAGAGAAAATGGTCCATGAGTTTGTGAGCTCAGAGCTGTGAGCATTCTGTGCCAGAACAACATCCACAAACTTCCATAGTCTGATTAATGCTATAATTCTGAGAAAATGCTTACTTTCTAAATCTTACGCTATGTCAACATTCAAGTTGCAGAGATCCATTTGCTAGGTAAGTATTTAACCAATACAGCCAAGGAGTCTTTAAACTTCAGCACACACTCATGAAAACAAAAGCAACACAAGATAAAATTGAAGCTCATAACAACTACTACACCAGAAAAAGTGTTCTATGGTGGGGGAATGGGGAGACACTTGTGGCCCTCACTTTGCTTTGGTCTGCCACTCCTGTCATCCCTCACCACAGGCAGCTGTAGCCCAAAATGTCTGGAAGGCCACAATTTGCCCACCTCTGTTGTACAAAATACACACATAATTGGGGTGAACCTAGATAAACTTACAGTAGGGCTGTGACTGAAAACAGCAGATTACAAATGCAACTACCTTGCACTTCTTCCTCTTCAAAATGTATAAAAAAGGAAAATGTGTGAAGACATCATGCCATTGCTCATTGGCAAATTACTTTCAAGTATCTAAAATCAAGTGTGACTAGTCATGCTTACAAGGTGTTGCGGAGGAAAGTGACATGAAGTCTTTGGTTTGGTGGCAACTCCATACTCAAAGTTCTGTTAAGCAATTATTCTCTATCCAAAGGCAGAACTTACTTTATTATGTCTTTCTCTTCAGGTTTGAAAGCTACAACATTTGTTTAAATATATCCCTTGCTACAATTTTCTGTCCAATCCTCCAACCTTCTTGTATGTTAGCTTTCTCCTCCCTTTCCTTTTGTTTCCCGTCTATCAACCCTGCGCCATGGGACAGGGATTTTAATTCTCTCTTTCTGCTTCTGTCACTCTGAAAATCTACATGTATATTCATGATGCCTTTAATAAGCAATAATACAATGTCAGATTGTTATACCATTTTATCCCATCCAAAAAAACAAAGTATGCTGTAAGTACAGATTACTTTCAAGACTCTAAAGTCAAGGCAATCAAACTTGTAAATCTGCTTAAACACATTGGCCTTGAAAGACAGTCAAAATAGAAGCTCACATATATAATTTGCATATTTTGATTATTTCAGTGGGGATTTAACATGAAAAGTTCCCACTTAATGAAACATAGCTCATGTGTGAACTTGAATTCTAAAACACATTTACTTGTAATTAATCTTGTGTTTAGGATGTAGGCATTAAGTATGTGTTTCCCTCTATGCTCATATCAGCTTTTAGCCATCATGTTTCATAATAAGTAATGCTATAATTTGAATGGGGGGGAGAAATCAAAACACTAACCTGTGTGCCTTGGTTATTAATGTCCACAAAATCACTCCATTCATTTGTTAATTCCTCTGATGATACAACTTTCAAAACGATGTTGGGTACAAGATCTTTCGTTTTGCAATCTGGATAGTTGGAGACTTGATGATAAAGCTCATGGTGTACTGAACATTCAGCTGGAACATGCTTGCAGTAAACATCAAACTTTGGTGTGTCTGGAATTCAACAACAAGTAAAACAGACTCTTTAAAGAAAGATGTACTTATGGCACGGTTCCACATTATCCCAGTATACACACACAAGCTAACCTCTAACAAGCTCTGCTCGATAGATTATCAGCACATACAATGATTACATTTGTGTTTATTTTGCAGACCTCTTTTTCACATGCCCACCCACACAAACTTCTCCTTGACTTAAATATGTTAATTTTAAATGAAATTGCTGAAATGAAGAGTTTAAGAGGAGAAAGAAAGTATTCAAAGGCTTCAACATTATGCTGTAGCAGTATAAATTACATACCTTTGATGTTTTCTTTTACAAGCAATGAGACAGGACACCTGTTGTGGATAATTATACGAGGACTAGGATCTTCAGACAGAGTTAAGTATGTAACCCCAAGATGTTCTTGATAAGTCAGTGCTATAGCCCTAATGTGAACACAATAATAATATTAGTCCCCTCCTTAAACCAATTCCATCTTATTGTGAACATCATCAATCTAATAAAGTGTTATGGAAAGGTAGTTTGGAAAAGTTCCTCTCTCTTAAAATGAGGATTCCATGAATAACTAACATTTTGATATTTTTTAAAGAGCATACAGCTATCAATGAGAAGCTTAGAAAGAAAAGCAAAAGAAGGGAACAATTGTCATAAGGTCAGGCTTCATATGAAAATATTTATGTACAAAAGGCTACATAGTAGTTGCCTTAGTATTTATAGATTTTAATAGAGAAGCCATTCTATGCAGGAGTTTTCTTGAATAGTAAATTAATGCACATGCTTAAAAGAAATATACTGCACCTAACACTTTGTTGGCACAAAATAAATCCAATGAATCAGAAACAGAAAAGGCAAAGGCAGAGGCACTCAATTCCTACTTTGCCTCAGTCTTCTCCAACAAGAAATTCTACAACCAAGAGGAAGTACAAGCTGAAAGTGAGAGATGGCAGGCCAAGATTGACAGACAAATGATGAAGGAATACCTAGATGAAATAAACACATTCAATGTCTAGGGCCTGATGAACCTGATCCTAGAGTCATAAAAGAGCCAGCAGAGAAATATGCAGAACCACTCGCTATTACCTTCAATAATTCTTGGAAAACAGAAGTGTCAGACGACCAGAGAAGGGCTAACATTGTCCCTATTTTCAAAAGGGAAAAAAGATGAACCTAGGAACTACAACCCAGTTGTTCTGACATCAAACTGGAGTAAATTCTGGAGTAAATTATTTAAAAATTAGTCTACAAACAACTTGAAGAAAATGCAGTAATAGAAGCCAACATGGATTTATCAAAAATAAATCCTGTCAGACTAATTTAATCTCATTTTTTGACTGATTAACTTCCCAAATGGACAGAGGGAACACTGTGGACATAATATACCTTGACTTTAGCAAAGTTGTCGACATAGTGCCCATGATGTTCTGATAAGCAAATCAGCAAAAAGTGAACTAGATACAAAAACTATGAGGTGGATCCAAAATAGGCTGCTAAATTGGACACAAAGAGTGCTCATCAATGGCACCTTCTCAAACTGGATGGAGGTAACTAGTGGGGTGCTTCAGGACCCAGTGCTCTTCAACATCTTTATTAATGATTTAGATGAGGAAGTACAAGGAAAGATAATCAGATTTGCAGATGATACAAAACTGGGTGGAATAGCGAACAACCTAGGAGACAGAATGAAGATCTAGGGTGATTTTGATAAACTTCAACACTGGGCAGAAAGCAACAGAATGAGGTGCAATAGAGACAAGTGCCACGTCCTCCACCTAGGAAAAACGAAACAAATCGATGCAAGATGGGGGATACGTGGCTCAAAAGAAGTGAAAAAGAAAAAAAACCTTGGGAGTAATTGTGGACAACAGGCTAAATATGAGCCAACGATGTGATGCAACTGCAAAAAAAGGCAAATGTAATTTTGGGATGCATTAATATAAGCATTACTTCAAAATCACAAGAAGTAGTAGTTCCTCTATACTTCTCAGTCAGATCTCATCTGGAATATGGAGTTCTGGGCACCAAGATTTAAGAAAGATGCAGAAAAAAATGAAACCCTTTCTAATGATCCAGGGTTTGGAAACACTGCCCTGTGAGGAGAGACTGAGAGAATTGGCCATGTTCAGCCTTGAGAAGAAAAGACTAAGGGGGGACATGATATCCTTCCATAAGTACTTCAAAGGCTGTCACAAAGAGGAAGGTCAAGATCTCTTCTTGTTGATACCAAAGTGTAAGACATGGAATAATCAATTCAAGTTGTGACAACTCAGATTCAGGTTCCCTGTCAGAGCAATGTGACAGTGGAAACAGTTGCCTAGAGAAGTTGTGGGTTCTCCCACACTAGAGACATTGAGAAAAAGAAATTGGATGGCCATCTAAGTGGAATAGTGTCAACTGGCATCCTACAACAGTAGCGGGTTATACCCGATGGCCTTCAAGGCCCCTTCCAACTCTATGATTCTATGAGAACACATAGAACAAATGTAAATATATATCAATAAGGATATCTGCTGACAGGATTATTTACATCACTGTGCTATTGAGTATCTAGATTACTATTCCACAAGCTTTTTAAAGTTGTCTGTGCACTTTTATTCCACTAACATGATTTCTCTAGAGTACATGGAGATAAAATATAACATTTTGAAAAAGGAATCCTTACTTTTTCAGAAGTATGCTACTGTCTCCTCCAAATGTTCATTAGAATCACTGTATTTGGTCAGTGTCCCTTCCTCTAATACCTATAATTGGAGCTCTTTGAGTCCAGCCACACTATTCATAAATCATTCAGAAGAGTCACTGTTAAGTGACTGAAATGATAGAAGGTATTCCCCTCCTCAGTGCTCAGAGACTGAAACACATCGTCTTCAAAGCATCTCCCGCATAGCTCACAACAAGGGCAGTACCATATGGTTGATTCTGATCTTCCTTAGCTTTATATAGCTCCTTATTTATATCTGCATTATACAGTAAGAGCAAAAATAGATCTGGGGCCAGGAAATGGAAATCAAGTCTTCTATATAGCAATGGAATTTTTACTGCACAGAGTAGCTTATTTTAAAAAGGGGAATGCAGTCTTGGATGTAGACAGTCTTTTAGACTTGGAAATATTTTCCTTATACATTCTCAACATCATTGCTTCCTGGCTTGTGTTTCCCCCCTGTTCCTTTCATTTGCTTGTATTTTCAAACATGGAAGACAACTTTAAAGAGCCATCATTCTTCCAAAGTTGCTGAACTGAACAGAGTCGCCAAATTAAATTTAAACACAATTGTTCACACAGTGTCTGAGTATAGAGATATCCCAAGATGTTTGGACAGAGAACAAAATAATTTTTCATGTTAGTAACTGCCAAACATAAATAATAAGAGCCCTAATCTTGAAACACTCAGCATTTTTAATGTGACAAATGTATTACTTATATTTTCCAAACATTCAAACAGGAATCTGTCCACTCCTGCAGCTAGTATTTGTTGGTGCTCTGTGGGCTACAACAGGCCGGATTTTTTTTAAAAAAATTATCTTAATACTTATGTACTGCTCCATTCCCATAGACTGTATGAGGTTTACACTTGCAGCACAGAGCATGAACCAGCTCCTCATGGAGGACTGAGTTTGCAGCTCATTTCCTCCTGGTCTGACTCCAGCTGGCTTGAACCAAAAAGCTTCATTTTGATTTCTCAAGATGCTCAGACTACCATGTGACTGAATCTCTGAAGGTAGGAATTCTATAATTAGATGGCAGTCCTCATAAATATCTGGCTGTCTTTCTTATCCAAAAATTGTATGTATGGAATTGTCAACAACTACACTTATGGGACATAGAGGAAACAGTTGTCTTCTGGGAGAAAGCTCTTCTGTCTTTCAGGCATGGTGTGTTAACTTTGGTGTGTTGCTTTGCCTTCAACCCATATTAAGTTTGCCAGAGAAAGATTTGTCTATTGAGAGGTTTTCTTTTTGTTGGAAACATACATAATGCACATATCATGCAAAATATACCTTTAAATTGCCTAATTTTGAAAAATATGCATTTTGTGAAGGTCAGCTAATCAGTACATTTACATTTCTTGTACACAATTAAAACATCTGTTCTTCTATTAAACAGATCCAACTTGAAACAAGATTTTCAATTAAAGTAAAACTTCCTTCACAGACATTCTGCTTACCTGGTACAGAAACCATGTTCATCCCTGCCACCAACAGGTATAGCTATGCTTTGCCTTGGAAATTCCTGCCTAATGACAATTGGTGGGCTCCAGCATGGAATGGCTTGGCTATTTATGCTCTGTGTGAAGCTTAGTAACAGGTACTTTTGAAGAGGGAACAAATCAGAAACTGGTTGGCTAATGTCACACGTCAAATCCCAGAAAAGAATTGACATTGCTTTGGCAGTGTCTGACTCTGCAGCTGAGCACATGCTGAATGTACTACTGTCTGGCACCTGTAAGAACTAGAAAGAAAACAAGGAAGAGTACATCATCATCATTTGCCCAAACTGTCTAATGTTTTCTAATTGCAAGTTTATGTTTATGCAGAATTTGTAGGGCTTGCAATCCAGAATATATCAATCATGTCTAAGTTACATGAAGGCTGCCATCCTATGGTCTGTGGGAGAGTGTTCCAGGGTTTTAGGATGCTTTGGGTCCTCTTCAGAGCAGAGAGTGAGGCTGCACCGTAGAAGGTTTCTGGCTATGGAAACCACAACAGCCCTTGCCTTACCAGCATCAGAACTATGATGTCAAAAGTGGAAGCAAGGGTGTGACAGAGGAGGATAAAGAGAAGGCCTGGATCTACAGGCTTCTACCAGCATGACATGAACGGGGGTTTGGATATGATAGTTTTTCCTCCCACTGGAAATCTGTACATCTCCTAAGAACATGCTTGTCTTCAGCCTCCATTAATATATCCAACCATGCTATGACATCACTTCCCCAGTAACTGACCTGCAGCCCTACTAGGCAGGTTCTACTGTTGCACTGCCTCTCAGGCAGAAAAAACACACCTCTGAAATTTGCAGCTCATACAGCTATTTTAGAACTGGAGGAAACAATGGGGGTACACCCTTTGTTAGTGTATGAAAGGTGAGATAATCTGATCTGGACAATGGAATATTAATGGAATTTGAATTTCAATAAAAGGGAATACAAATGGTTTAAAAAATATTCATATGCAAACTGTTGTAAACTTCATATTACTTTATCAAATCGCACTATTTTATAATTACAATGACATCTATGCATATTCAATTTAAGATTTTTTAAAAAATTCATACATTCTGCTAATACCTTGAAACTCAGATGATTCAGCTCATTCAAGTGTCATAAGTACAAATAGCTTGAGAGTGCTTATAACCAATAGATTTACATTTAGGTGCTCTAAACAGTTTCAGCCTGAAAGCAGATGTACCCCTTCTTATGAGAACTTTGTACAAATTCTTAGAACTGTTTCAACAGCTATTACAGATTATGGTGCCTCTGTTTCAGCAGCAGGCTTCAGCTTCTGAACAGATGGGGACCAGGCAGAACTAATCCACGAATCTGCCGCTATACAGAGATCACAGTTAATTACCATGGCTGACTGTACTGTGGCATCTATGCTTTTAATTAAAGCAACCTAAAATGAGTGACTTTTATTAACTCCTGATCCAGTGTTTTCCTTTCAATAAGAAGTTTAGACTTTATACAAATATGACTTTCTACATTATTAATAACTTACCTCCTCTCTCAGCTGGTACTTCATAATAGATAGCTGTGGCTTATAATAGATCGTGTATGGAGTGTTATTGACAATAATAGTCTTATCTTCAATCTGGAGTATTTGAATGCCACGCTGAACAATAGAAGAAATGCAGAACTGACACAACTGCAGGATGAAACAGTAATAAAATATTAGCAGACAAACTTCCCAACAGAACCAGCACATACAATAAATATTTTTATTCTACTAAAAGCACACTGGAGGAAGATAGGCAAATCTCTGTTCACTGCTGCCTTATCCTAATAAAATGTATTTCTCTGAGGTCTCTCTGTTCCTCCAAATAACTTAGAGCATTTTGCTCATGGCTCCTTAGCACAAGTAGGTATAGTTCCTTAGCTATAACAGTAACACTGCTTCATCTACCTTTAAAACCATCATTTGAACCCAGATGAATATCAATAAATACATAAATGAATTTTTTAAAAACTGATACTAGATTGGTTCCAGAATATGCCTCCCTCAGAAAGAAAGCCTCCATCTTTCCACAGAAAGCTTCTATTTCAGTGAAGAAACCCAATGGCAAAATGAAGGAGGCATAGATTTTAACTGATTTGTCCTCTACCTCTGCCCCACCCCTAAAAATCTACTGGGGAATCCCCAAGAACACTACAAAAGATGGCATTATGGGCTCAAGATAACACTGGGGAAGACAGCTCCCTGGATCTAAAGGAGGTGATTGGTCTGGGGCCCCATTTACAGTGAAGGCTGGTAACTCTAATGACAGAGGGGCTATGTAACCACCATGTCCTAAAGGAAACCCTATTTGGGGGATAGGGTTCAGCAGTGTGAATAGCACCTTTAATGTTCAGAGTAAAATCTGGAGAGGATACACAGTCCCCCCTGGCTACCACTGGCCTTTTTCAAGACTATATGTTAAGTCACTGGCTGACAGCAGAAAGATTACTATATGGCAAAGCTGCAGTTCCAAGTGATTTCTACTCAAGACAGCAGAAATAGTCACTGCTACCATATTAATACAAGGAGCTGAGGCTGAGTATTCTAAACCCTGTGCATCAATGCTAAGGCTCTAGTACACTGGAGCCCACTGGGAGGGGTCCTAATGAGGACTTCTATCTTTTAATAAGAGCATTTGAGCAGACTATTTTCAGTAACTACGTATTTTGTTCAGAACATGATTGATCAGTTAAGAATATTCTTTTTAGTTCGCTGTATTTCTGAATGACAAGTATTTTAGCATTTGCTGGTTGGTATGTGTGATCTGATCCAGCATTGTCACTGGAAGCACAGGGAGTCCTGGTGGCATGGAGCACTTATTATCAGCTTAGGCTGATATATCAAGTATGACCCTATCTAGTCAGTGACAGTCTTGCTAAAAGTTAATCAGGTCCTGGTAACCTCTCATTTGGATTACTGCAGTGGGTTATATGAGGACTGCCTTTGAAAGTAGTCCAGAAGGTCCAACTTCAAAAGGTTTAAAATAGGTCAGCACAATTAGTAATGCCGAATGGCCAATATGATCTGATAGTATTATACTAGTACTTTATGATGTGCACTGGCTAGCTGTCCATTTACAGGGTCATTCAAAATGCTGGTGTTAGCACACAAAGCCTTAAATGACTTGGGGTCTGGTTACCTGAATGATGGTCTCCTTCCATATATACTTGCCTGGACTCTTTTCAGAGGCCCATCTCCATGTGCCCCCAGTGATTAATATGAGGTGGATGGCTATTAAGAAAAGATGCCCTGGCTATGGAGTGCTCTCGCCAGAGGCTCACCTGGTCTATACTGTGATCATTTGGGCAACGGGTGAAGATCTTTTTATTTTCTCAGGATTTCTAGCCCTCCATTTCTTACTTGGTTGTTATTCTATTTCAAATTTCAGATTTTCATACTATGTTCTCCTATGATACTTCATTCTATTATTTTATATTTGTTCCATGAATCACCCAGTTAGCCTGGGTAGTACAGAAATATAATAAACAATAAAATAAAATAAAATAAAATAAAATATAAAGTATTGCCTCTGAAATATTAGATAATGATTTCAAATATTTCTAACCTTCTGATGTCCAGGAAAGGCTCCAAGTTTTATCTCAGCTTCAACAAAGCCTTCTTCATCCAATGTCACCACCTCCTCAGTGTCACCATCCTTCCATTTTGGTGATGTCATGTTGTGTACTAGCTTGATTGCTACTGACTTGTGCACAGTATTAGTGTTTGCCCAGTATATTCCAATTTGGAAAGCTTCCTAAAATAAAATACATTTTACCAGGCCTAGCACCTCTTGTTCTCTATGTTATTTATTTAATTTATTTAAATCATTTGTATCTCCTTGATATCCTAAAATCTCTAAGGGCGCAATCTTATGCACTTCTAAACTTTTCTAAACTTTGCAACTCCTAGCATTCTCCAGAAAACCATGTAGGACTTTGTCTAAACATACACAGGATTGTACCCTAAGTAGTTCACATAAATATATATAATACAATATAAAACCCATGTAAAAACAATATAAAACATATATAATTAAAAATGTTATGCGAATAATAGAGCATAGCAGTACGATTATAAGTCAGGGAAAGCCTGATTGAAGAGATACAACTTCAAATGGCATCTAAAAGTCACTAAAGTCTCTGCCTCTAGGGCCATCTGCAGGGAAGTGTTTCAAAGAATGAATGCTTATGTGCCATTACCTGACCAATGCACATTATTGGTCATGGGATGAATTCCTGGAAATTTTCAGGGATTGATTTAGCATATAAAAGACAAGGTGGTTGGGTAGGTATTCAAATGCAATATTTAGACTTATTTGCTAGCATTCTTTTCCTCTTTGGATTGCTTCAGATTGCCATACAGTGAATTCTTGAACTCTGTAACAAAGAACAAGTCTAAATGTGCAAGGGGCATGAGGAGGAGCAGTAGGAAATGTGAACTTGACCTTCTACTTGAACCTGGTTCACATGATCCTCCTACTCAGAAGTGAACAGATAAAAACAAGGGAAGCACAGGTGAACTGAGCTCATCACAGTACACACTATTTGTATGTGAGAGGGGAGAGGTTATGCCCCTCCTCTGTCACACTAATTAGTGCCCCCAGGTTAAATGTATAAACCAATGCTGAGATTACTTCTGTATTCTCAACATAGTATAAAGCCTCAGGGTGCCTCCAGATGGAGGGCTACCTATGAGAAGATATCATGTAGCTGTTATGCTCTTGCCTTCTGGTAAGAAAAAAGATGGAAAAACAATGGGAAAATGTGAGAGCATTACAAGTTGAAGAAAAGGATGTCTGGAATCCTCATAAAATTCTGTGCAATAGGCAGAGCAATGGTGCAAGCACCTCAGTCCTTTATATATGTGCAGTCAAAAGGTACATAGAAATATTTCAAAGCAATAAAAGAATCTGAATGACATGGCTACCTTAAAATCTACCAAACAAATAAGCATCTTTTTCTATTTCCTGACTTAAGACCTCTTTAAAATCCTTCACTGCTCAAAACATGGTAGCTAGTCTCACATCATCCAACAAAGATACTGCCCTGATTTTAGGGCAACATCCACTGTAGACTGTCTGCTAGTGGCCGGCCTTGCAATTCCCACCCACAAGCTGTGCCCAACACTTGCAGAATGGAGATTTAGTACTTCCAGGGGAAAGTGCTGAAATAAGCAAAGTACTCATTTATTGAATGGTACAGTTGAGCACAGCTACCATAAAGGAACAAAACTGGTGGTGGGTCTCACTTGTAAAAGGGCCACCGTTGGATACTGCCCATTGAAAACACTTAGAATCCTCTTGCTTATTATGTATTAGCAGCAGAACGAACTGAACAGCAGGATGTACATTCTAGGTGATGAGCGTGATTGTGTGCATGAACATGTGTGTTTGTGTGTGTATACAAGGGTGCTTTTCTATCTTGACACATATTGACAAAGAAAATCCATTATTTTGATCCACAATGTGGTTCTGCAGGCCTTGTGTCCTGTGCTCTGGCCCTCAAATGAAAATATAATACTTCAGAGAAAATAATGCACATTAATTTGAATAGTAAGCCTGCCTGAAAATTTGGAGGTATCATTGTTTTCCCAGCAGGTATCTGCAGGACTATCTTCTCGCCTTCAAACAACCAAAGATCCCACTTGGAGTGATTAATCAACAGAGCCCATGGCAGTAGTTCTATCAGCAGCGTTTTCACACATGGCTTCCACACCGACAGTTTCACTCTCATTGGGCTATCCCACTGAGTGAGCTGTTCACTGCTGCTCCAAGGAACGTATCAAAGGAGAGATAAAAGAAAATTGTTAATTCACTGGTAAGATTTGTAGTTTATCATCTTAGCAATTCATAAAGCTTTTGTTACACTGCAGTGCCTCCTGATAACAGATAGGATTCTGAAATACAAAGCAATTCTGCCAGGGCAAATCTGTCCCTGATTTAGGCTGGTTTTCTCCTTTGATTAAAATAGGCCTTTATTCAAGGATCAAAAAGCCAGTCACATTTTTAAATAATTGAATTAAAAGTGGTCTCAGGACAACACCTGGCTTTGAGACTCCTTGCCAGTTTCTTACTCCTAAAATATGATAGCAAATATGCTTCCCTGAAAATATAATTTCTGCTTTTTAAAAATAAGTATTTTTATTCCCCATGTTGCCATGAGAAAAAGCATTCATACACTGCAAATGTCTAGCACTGGGGAGTTAAAAAAGAAAAAGAAAAATAAGCCTTCTTTTATCTGGAAGGCAAATAGTGCCAACACACCTAGCCCAGTTCTTGGTTAATGCTGAGAAGACTCTTTCTGCTCATGTAATATTCTTGATACACAGATTTCATACCACAAAACTGTTGGAACCTCATACTGAATCTAATGACAAATCTCCCAATTTATTTAATTTTCTTAGAGGAGTATCTGGCAGGGAACTTTATGTATATTGTGTGTGCCCATGTGTCTGAATGACAGATGAACACACACTTATCCATTTAACACTGCAGCCACTGAAAATGGGGGAAGCTGAAATGTTTAGCATTAGACATATGTCAGCCTATCTATCTTTCTTAAATATTTTTACTGACTGCATCTATAATGGACCCAGAGTCTGCCTGCAACTTTACATCTCTCTATCTATTTTAAAAATCTTAACCTGGGATCAGCACCTGGTAGCCTTGGGCAATTATAAGGTCGCCAACACACTATTCGGCCCTTTGTCTGAATCTAGCTGATGTTTTACTTTCCCACAATGTACTAATGTCCCATGTTGCATTACTGTGGGGCATTGAGAGAAACTGAAATGGCAGCTAGGCCTAGCCACTTCGTGCTGCCCAGAGCACTGCTGCCCCCCACTGCCAGGGTGCCCTCCTTAGCATTTTGCTAAGGGTTCCTTCAAACCTGGAGCTGACCCCAAGCTTCTGAGCCAAGCCTGGCTGGGATCCTACAAGTGTGACGAAATACCTTCATCTACAAATACTTCAGTTCTGCTGCTCTTGGGCAAACTGCTGACTTTTATGGCCACTACAAAAGTAGCAGGTTGGTGGGGCCACATGTGGCAAACAGGACACACACACTGCTCTGTACTGTGGCTGTTCCTTTTAGCATAACTTCTTTTAACATGAGTGTTTAGTATGACTGTTTTAGTATTTATTTTATTTGATGATAAATGTTTTTAACTCTTGCATGTCACTTTGGTTCTTTTGATCACCACGTATTTTATAATTAAATAAAGTGTTACTTGTACTCCAAACATGCAAAGAAGCCAAAGGTCCACCTACACAGGCATCTGTTTTCCAACAGTTATAATATGCATTCATTGTTCAGTCTTTCTCTTGTGCACAGTACTTTAGAGTTCATACATTAACTCACACAACAGGCTCATTATTACTACCATTTGCACAAGTGTAATTGGGAAGCTGAACTCAAGGGAAGCAACTGTTATTTACTGAACTAGAATCAGGGCACACATCTGTCTGGCAGAAGTCCCTCACTTAATTACTAGACCATGTTGGCCTCACACTATATACCTCAGGGTTTTAATTTTGTTCTACTTAATTTACTGGAATAGTTTTATGAACAAAGATAGCAGAGGTACTGTACTTTGCAAAAAACACAGAAGGTCAGTTCACAACAAAAGAACATTGTAAGCAGCTTTCCAGTTTTTTAGGCAGAGGCCTTTTCTGATCTTAGCTGAAGGTACCAGGGACTGAACCAGGAACCTTATGCATGCATGCATGCATGTGTTCTTACACTCAACTACAACTCTTCACTTCCATTTCAATCTATTGGTAACTACTTGGAAAATAAAATTAAAATATTGAATATCTTTAAGTCATTCAACAGAAGAATCTTTTGCAGAATCATGCATTATTTGCAAATTATCTTCTTTCCCAGCAAGTGAAGCAACTACAAATGGAAAGAATTAGTAAAGCATAGTACCTGACAAAATCCTTCTTTGTATAAGGCCATGTAGACTGGGGGAAGTTGTCACACCCATAAAAATCAGCAAGTATTTCATTTGCTGTGCCACTTGTATTTGATTTAGTGGCTATTTGCTTAATCAGTGCTGTTGAGATAGGGACTGCACATTCAGATGGATCATCTTCTTCCCTGCCAAGTGGATATAGAACAAAGCAGGTGTGATATTCATGCACAGATTTATTAGAGAAAGATGTGCATATGTGCTACAGAATGGCATTTGTATTATCTGCTCCAGATATGGATGATTTTGGTGAAATTTTCCAGTACAAAATATCTTTGAAGTACAAATAGACTGCAGTCTAACATGGTTAGGATTTCTTTAACGGAGAAACTCCAAAGCTATACCTGGCTTGGAAGGTCAGGTGATGGGTTAGATCAGGCTCTATATTTTGGAGTGATTTTTCTTGCCCTTTTCCTGGAATAATTTGTATTTCGTTCAGTCCAAGGCTCCGTTTTTCTAAATGTATGATGATGGGATCTGGAAGATGGCTCCTCATGATAAAAAGAGGGCTGAAAACAATCTACAAAACCAAAATAGTAGAACAGTTTCTGTATTAACTTTGGATCCAGCAGTCACATCCCAGCTCTAACAAACTGTCAATAAATCTTTGTTTAGGGTCAATCTGACCTTAATTTATTTCTCAACATGATGTGAGAGGGTTAAGATGAGGGATAAGATCCATTTGGATAATGAAGAATGTACTCACAATTCGTTGCTGGACTTGTGAGTTGGCCTCTAATGTCAAAACCATACACCATACATAAATAATGGAACTGTTTGACGATGGCACCTGCAGGCGAGAAGAAAGAAAGGCTTACTGTAGTCTCAGAAAGCTAAATATTTTACATCTACCAGTAAAGTAACACACTGAAGATCCAGAAGAATATCAGTTCTCAGAAAGAAGTAATTTCTTTATATATTATTCTACACAGGATGCCTATTGGAGCTTCTGAATTAAGGACCAAATGGGACATGACACGATCACACAATTAACAATTAGGTGGTCTAATTGGACACAGTATTCCAGATGCGGCTTGACTAGTGAGGACTATAGGGAAACTACTACACAAGAGCCAGGTCTGACTCATAAAGGCGGCAATGGAACACATGTTCAACAGCCTGGCAGAACTTTTCCTAGCAAATGGACCTCATGGTGACTAGTGCCCTATATTAGAGCCTGCTCATCCATAAACTTCAAGTTCAGGGAGGACCTTCTACCAGGAAAGCACATTATTTTTTTAAACAATGCTAAACTTCAGATTTAGAAAGTATTTGCTTAGGTACCTGGATGACTGTGCTGTATTCAGTGTGTTTAGATTCAAGCGACACATCTCTTGACCAGTCTTCATCCCCTTTAGCCTTCACACTCAGTTCTGTTAGTTCATTATTTTCTAGGACATATGATGGTAACTTCTGCTGGGGTGCAAGGCAGTCAAAATGCTCCTTCACAACTGCCTGCCCATCCTGCCCAATATAATGCTGAACAACTTTCAACTCAATGCTTCCAGAGAGGTAGCTACACACAATCTGCCTTCCACAAATAATGATCTAAATGTAAAAAACAAACACAAAGAAATATTGTATGTAATTTAATTCCAACAATTCAACCTAAATAAACTGTAGTAATGCTACTGGCATAAACCTACAAATGTACTCTTTTACAATTGAATAACATGTAAAAAAAAATAAAACAATCATTCTAAATACTAAGGACTGTATCCAATGGTGTCACACTGGTGCATTAAAGTTTCTGTCACTTTGGAAAACTCCATTTTCATCACTGTGCAAGCATCAAATTCAATACTTGGTCTCTTTTTGTGCTGTAGGCAGCACATGTTTAAAGGAATTAATAATTTCTCATTATCTACACATCTTCATTCGTGTGAAAGAAAATTGTGCCCTTGTTTGTACCCTTTCAAACCTGCAATGTCAATTAAAACATTTTTTTTTTACAGTAGAGGAGAAAGAATTTGCAAATTAAAACTCTTAATCAGCTCCTCTATGGCCAGAATCAGATGTAATGTTGGCTCACAAAAACCATGGTTTGGAAATCAGGAGTCAGCACACATCATCCTGCCTCCTATTTGGTTTTAATAGGATAATTCCCCTCTTATATTTGCACTAATCATAAACATAGTTCTTTCATAAGCCAAATAATGCAACTATGGTTTGCAGTGAATTTACAACCAGGCTTATGTTAACCAAAGTTTGTACACATAATGTGAAATGATGATTAATGAAGGGAAAGAAAAAGAGTGGACAGTAGAAGGGTGAAGAGGTTTGCTTTGTACTTGCAAACCAGGATCCAGTGTTATATTTTATTGTTTCTAAAATATAAGCTAAGTAAACTTGACTCTGACTGGAAAGATCACTATGGTTTAACACAGATATTACTTTTAGGATATACTTTCAGGATAATTTTACTTGGATCATTCAGAGAGAGAGCGAGAGAGAGAGAGAGAATATCACCTCTTGACAATATTTGACTCTAAAGCATCCATACATCTACTGCGGCATTCTTGGGCACAGTTATAGTTAATGATATCCTAGACAATGCAATATGTATTGGAAAAGAATTTGTATTTTTTTTAAAGTCCCCATATACTGCGTAAGAAGACTTACTTGTTTTTGCACTCCATTCAGCTGCTGGACCTTGATAATAAGGGATGCTGTCCTTCCCTTGTACTGAATAGTTCTGATAAATGTTCCTGCATTATCTAAACTAAATGGCTCAGACCACCGCCAATTTCCCCAGCCTTCAATACAGATATGTAGCAGCTGAAAAGGTTAAAACAAATAAACAAAAACAATGAACACATAACTGATGACCCATAATAATCAACTAACCCTACAGTGAAAACTAAATTCTACTGCTGAAAAAGATCTTGTTATAAAATGTGAAAATGTCTAATATCTTTTATTGGAAAAATAAACAAGCTGCATGACCCATGTAATGTAGGGTACTGGAACACCACAGGTCTTGGTAATCATGCTTTTTAAAAATAAATAAACTTCCAGTCTTGAAAGTTGAATTCCTTGGTATGTTCTTCTATTTTGATAGAGCTTAGCTTATATGAGTGAGAGCAAAGCTGGTCTACCACACAGTTATTTATGCTGACATCACCACCCCACTGCCCAAACAGGGCTACAAATTTTATGTCCTATAAACTCCAAAAAGAAAAGAAATAAAAGAAAAGAGAAAAAAAAAAACACCAAACAAACATCAAAGTCTGGAGAAAAGAGACAATAAAGCCCCCACTTGCACCAAGGACAAAGAATCAAGGCTAATGGACTGAACACACTGAAATTATACTTCTTCCAGTGAAGTTTGGCATTGACCTTCAAGAGCAACCCACAATAAAAAGCTGCTAAAATGTTAAAACTCAGTAGCCTAGCAGGTTTTAGTCCCCTTAGCACAAAACTGCATGTAAAACAAACATGTCCAGTAGAGTGGGTGGCTTTTAAATTACAAGACTTAGGCCTTGACTACTAATACAAATATACAAGATAATAAGTCTTCTGAAGGAAAAATGTACCCTGTGACACAAAAGCCCCTAACAACTTTGATATGTAAATCTTAGAATAAAGGAAAACAACTGCTAGCACTGAAACCAGGGTGGTTACAGCCCCCAACTGAGTAGGGGTGGGGTGGGGGAGAAATACCACATACACCCAAATAAAAGAAACATGAAAGCTGCTGACTGGAGAGCTAAAGGTTACTGAAAACAAACAAACAAAACGGAGGCATGGTTCATAAAAACTGACTCAATTGATAATGTACTAACGCTCCAAAATTAAAAGTTCAGGACTAAGGAGCAATGGATAATAATTAGCCTAAGCACAGAATTTCCTCACCAGAGCAATCTTTCCCACCTTGTTTAAACTACTACTTCATTCAGTGTGTATCACCAAGGAATATGCTGTCAGTTTTTATGTAGCAGACAATAGATTACAAAATGTTGACATAGCAATTTTCTAGTTTAGCACTGCAGAGATTTATGTGCATTCAGCATTAAAGTTAACCAAGAAAGATTATGAAAAGGTTAGGAAAACAGTCATCTTGGAGTGGGAATCCCCATCTCTTCCCCGAGTTACATGAAATTACCTCCAATCCCTTCTGCAAGTATGCATTTTAGATAGAGATGACACAGAACAGTTAAGAGTTGGCAAGTGGATTCAACTTTTGATTCACTATGCCATGCCACTGCCATTTCATGTGGGTTGTTCTAAAGTTATTTGATAATTGTTTAACCCTCAGATTACCTACAACACCTGGATACACGTGATATGTCAGGCTATAGTAGGACCCCACTGCAGCTTGCCTATAAAAATAGTGGCTGGTGTGGATCTTGGAACCCATGAAGCCCTGTGTGCTGGAGTCCTGAACTACCCCACTGGAAGTAATAGAAAGGGAGGGACAATTTTAGGTACACAGAAACACATACCAGAATACACAAAAAATATTATCACAGAAAGTGCAAACACAGTCATTGTTATTATTTATTTTATTTAGTCTTTCTTTCAATTTGTATGCCTCTACAATAGCCCATATCTGGACTCCCTCCATGGCTCACAATATAAATTTGTTAAATTTATAGCTTGCCTTTTGCATCAAAGAACCCAAGATAGCAAATATGATTCTGGTCCTCTCCATCTGATTTTCACAACAAACCTGTGAGGTAAGTTAGGCTGAGAATCAGTGAATGGCCTAAAATCACCTGGTGATTTTCATGGCCAAGTAGGGACTAGAAGACAACACCTCCTATTTCCAGTGCATCACTCTAACTGCTACATTGCACTGGCTTTCAAGGAACAAGTCAAGAAGGATAACAATATTATTCCTTACATTCTTCCCTTTTCCATGTGAATCTCAACATCAACAGACCAGGTCCCAAGCACCTAATGGCCTGGATAGGATGAGTGGCTTTGGATCTTATGGGAAAGCAAGAGGAAAGAACACCTGCGAGATCTTTATGCATTCAGTGTAATGTTTGAAGAGTGAACTTGGTCTTCCTACATTACTGAAAACTGCGACTATGAAAAGGTATATTCTTCCTTTGTTAACCCCTGCTTCCATTTCTCTTTTCTCCCCATTCCCTATGTTATCAGATTGTATAAGGTCCTCAGGGAAGGGACCTTACCTCTCACCTTCCAAAGCACTACGCATACCAATGACACTATGCAAACAGTGGAAAGATGCACAAATGGGAAAGACTAGAAGCTGCTACAATTCAAATGTCATCCTATTATAAAGTTTCCCTTTGAAACATTTCTCTAGAAGCGTGAAAAACATTTATGTATAACAGGCCAGTAACATCTGAAACAGCTCAGAAAATTCACATGTCAGAAAATAAATATTTCTGATATGCTCATCAGCCTCTAATAGTGCAACATCAAAAACCTATTCTATTCTTGCTCTGAGACTGTATACCCTGGGGCAAATGTTACCATTAGTTGTCAGGATGAAAGACAAATGCACTAGGAATACTTTAGGCTTGCCCATTATGCATTGTTCTTGGTGGTGGTGTCCATTACACTTTGTTTGCAACCCATGTTTAATTAATTGTTTGTGTGAATTCTATTTTAAATAAGTAAATTTAGTTTTACGCAAACTTGTTTATGGACTGCTCTTGGCAGTTCCACCATTAATAATAGGCAATCTTGAAAAGTGGGGAAATGTTGTGTGTTCCTGCTATTGAAGCAGGCAGGGACAGGGACTTGTGATGCTGCAGCAAAGGAGGCTGACTACTTGCAGTTGATCAGGCTTCCATGCAATGAGGTGTTGTCAAAAGTAAGATTCCGCTTGCAGAGTGCTAACACAAAGCATAAAAGGAAATCTGGGATCTCTGGACTCATTCAGCAGGCAAACTGAAGCCAGCACTGATTTGACTACTATCGTATTTACAACAGGGCGTATGATGTCCTAGATAAGAGTCATAGCTAGTGAGTCATTGTTTCCCAAATGCAGAGCTGAGCAGAAGCATAGACTGAAGTGCTTGAACTCAAAAAAACTCAAGAATTTATGAAAATGCAAGTCAAGGAAAAAAGTGTATCAGATAAATAATTTCCCCATGAAATGAAATCTTAACTAAATGTAATGAGATATTTTACAGTAGGACTTCTATGGAGCAGGAAGGATGAAGGAGAAGGGATAATTCTGAGACATTTCTGGCTTTTAAACACTCCTCATACTCATTGAGTTCTTTAGAAGGTTTCTAAAAAGAGAGAGACTAAAATGCAGCTTTTATTTATTGCTATTGTAAGGTAACTATTTAATAAAGGGTTTACTTTAAATCTAACAATTCAGTTCTTTGTACAAATTTACATCTGAAGAAAATGCATTTTGAGGTTTAAACTTCATACCACCACAGCAAAACCAAAAGAATTTTAAGACTTCTTTCATTTATTTTTATTATGTATTTTAAATGGGCAATTACAACACCTCTCCTCGACCTTAATCAGTGAAAGAAAAATTAGGACTTTAAATGATATGAATGTTAATGAAACCCAATCCTTTGAACACTATTTATTTTCATTTAACTGAACTGCCTTGCCATACTTAAAAAAAACATTTTTGCAAAGGTTAAATAAAGTATTTTATGGCAACCGCTGCTGCTTAGTGCCTGTGTAACAAGAAATCTGAGCTGGCCAAAGTTCTGCAATTGGGTTTTCTTTCCCAGTAAGGGAATGTGGTATCTGAGACCTTGTCCTAACTCATTTTATCCCCAAGTGAGAGTCAAGCAAGTCAAGTATGAACTAATGCCTAGAGGAAAGTCCCTGACTCTGAAAGTATGGATTATTTCATATTTCACATTTATCTTACAATCTGCTCTCAGAGTTCTTAAAATTCACTAACTTGGCAAGATGAGAATTATCATGAGGAATGAAACAGTTTCAAAACTATGAAGTCATCCAACATTCCATTAATCTGACACTTGTGTGGCTTGTCCGTGCTTGGGCACTATTCTGACCTTTGGATAACGAGTTCCTCAAGAACCATTCCAGCACTGAAGCAAGTTAGAACATGCCACAATATTAACATACACAAGAGGCTGAAGTCCTAATGAAGTTGTGCTCATACATATTGTTTATAAACACACCCACTTGAAACATTTAGATGCAGAGTTAAAAACAGAGCTTCACTTATCTAAGATGACAAGGTAGTGAGTTGTTCAGGGTTCTTTCCAATGAACACAGTGACATGATTGCTTGTTTAAAATTAGCCACAAAGATTGGGTTTAAGAGTTTTGCAGCATTAAGTGTGAAAAGCCCCCATGATATTGGTATGTTAAGTAAACCAAATGGTTTGCTTCCATCTCTAAACTCCTGGGAGAGGAAATACAATGTCAATAGAACAATGATAATATAGATAGTATTACAAGGCTTGGGGGACATTCAACAGAGCTCAGTGCATGCCAGAAACTTTGTCCCAAGAAACAAAGTTTCAAAGAGCCAAGCCCTGCTGTCCTGTTAGTGACAAAGACTGCTCTACTGCTGACCTGGGTTTGTTTAGTTAGTTAGTTTCTCCTCTCTGCTTCAGCTACAAGCCATGCATTCTTGAGAACCAAGGCTGACAGTAATTCTCCAGGGCTGAGGGAGAAATGAGTTCGAGTCTCACAAGACCCTAGTTCAAATTGTTATAAACTGGATCACAATGGCTCTCAATCAGATATTGCTGACACACCTCACAGTGTGACTACAAATCAAGCAATACGGCATGCAAAACTTAAGTGAATTTTCATGAATAAATGTAGATCATTGAACATATTTTCATCTTTCAAAATATATAAACACCTGGAAGAGAAATTTTGGATTCAAAAATCTGAGAAGTATGGAGAAAAAGCAGGGAAGACAAGCTGTTCCTTGAAAGACAACTTCAGTCAAACAACTTCAATAGCTCAGGGCATCACCTTCAGTATCACAGATTACTAAGATAGACAAAGCTAAATTCAGGTATTCCCTAAACACATGAGGGCTTAACTAGGTACAGAGCTGAGCATAAGAAGAATTCTCCATGCAGTTGAAAACCACGATAAGGCAAGAATTGTGTGAAGAGGTTTATGTGTATTTAAGCAAATATGAGCAGATTTCCTTTTCAGATTTTGCCAGCTAACATGGCAAGGTCTGAAGTGAAGTGGGTCAAGTCAACGTGCCCAGCCCTGACCCTTTACTTAAAGCCCTCCCATGTTCAATTAAATGCCTGAACACAACTACAACCCTTGAACAAAATGGTTAATTTAAGGAAGCCTAACCAGTTGAAAAGGTTTCCAACCATCGCCACATAAGAATTTGTCCCCATATTAAATACCTGACTTCTTCAGGCAGGGCTAGGAAGTAATGTGGCCTGAATCTCTAGAAGGCTACCACCAGTCAGTCATAACAGTACTGATGTAAATGGACCAAGATCTGATTCTGTGTAATGTTCCTAGTTTTCAGCCCAGACTATTCTGAAAAAGCAGCACCAGCAATGTAATGCAAGACTGAAGAACTGGTAACCTGGTTGTTCTTCACAGCTGCTATTCAGACCCTGCAACCTTCCCACAACCACATTCACAACCACATTGTGTATTTCTTTCTGCCTGTATTGAATAGCATATTGCAGTGATCTTAGCAACATGTATTTCTTGTTGTTCCTGCACAGGTGAAACGGAGAAGCACAAAGACTAAAGCAAATGCTAAATGTGTTTGCTTTCTTAGAAGCATTTCATGACACTGAATAAACAAAAGAAGCTTTTGGGAAAAATTAACTGTAAAACCCATGCAGGGGCTCTATTACTTCATGTTTCCACATGAGATTTTTTTCACTGCATGCATGTACACACGTGCACATACACACACACACACCGTGAAGCTACATGCAGCTTCCATTATATGTAAATGCTTATTAAGAACTTGCATACAGAATAATCTCATGCAGATTTCTATGATTCCCATAGGAATTATGGACACTGTCAGCATTCTTAATGATGGGAAAAGCAGATGTCGTGCATGACATTCTTCCCAAGATCCCATTTTGCGGTTTGTCCTTCAACTTCAGCGATGCTAATTCCAAATGTATGCCTTCATTTCAACAGAAGCTTTGTGCCCTTGGTGTTAGGATTAACATCCCAAATGTTGAAGAGGATTTTCCCCTTTAAACCTGACAAGTTATTGCTGTACTTTGGTTTAGAAGCCTGAACTTTTTTGTTGTTGTTTTTGTTTTAAAAAATTGGAAAGGGTGTGGGTGTACAATTCCAAACTGGAATCAAATCTAAACAGTTCTGGCTTTTCTCAGCCTTTTTGTTTATCTCTTGTGTCTCTTGTAGCTAAAGTGTGCAACTCCAGCTGGAATCTGGAAAGTTAAAGATAGCTGAACACATGAATAAAAAACCAGAATCAAGTATTAAAACACCACCCAGATTTAACAATTGCTGCACTTGTAAGGCTTTTTCCTGACATACCTGTGGGGACTTGTGAGAGCGCCAGCTGTACTGGTGACTGTGGAGGCTAGCCAGCAAAACATTTTCGTCAGTGTCCACCTGGCCAAACCGCAGTGTCTCCTGTGTGTCATTACAGATTACAAAATGGCTGAAGACCAACTCTTCTGCCTCAGGGCACTGGTTCTGAAAGGAAAAGGATATGAAAGCCAAACAAGCATCAGATTAATTGCAAGATGTTTGGCAGCTGTCTGCCCAGTGGCAAATGTTTCTGCACCAAAAATCTCCCGTCACAAGCTTTTCCTACAAAGTTTCTTTCCATATCATAAATGGCAAAGCATTTATGGGTCCCCAAAATATTGCTTCATTTATGCTCCCTGAACTGTAAACCACAAGCAACCTAAATGACAATGAAGTCACAATGTTGAAAGATTATTTGTGCCGAATTAGCATGTGTTGGAAACTAAGGATCATTCATAAAACAGACAAGTGTACAGGAGAACAGCTTGAAGAGATTGAATATATACAAACAAAATCTATCCATGCTTCATAATGATACTAAAATCACCACTTCAAAGACAACTGAACTGGTTTTTCAAGATGTATTATGATGTTTTAGAAAAGTAAAGTGTAGTTTTGAGAACTTTTTCAAACTAACAGTGAAACAGCAGTATCAGAATTTGATTTCTATCCAGTCTGGTCTCTGGCACTTCTTTGTTAGAAATTAGGCGCTATTTACAAACAGAAATGTCAAATATCAAATGTCAACCTCCCATCTCATTTTGTTTTCAAATTATTCTGTGTACTGGGCTTAATCCTGCAACAGCTTCTAGAATGCTCTGTTGAACTGATATAAGCAAATATAACATATTTAGGTCTGCTGTTGGCCAGGCAGTGTGCAAACAATATGCAAAGTTGGCAAGTTTAATGTAGCTAAAGGATAATTTGATAGTGCTGTTAAGTCCCGAGAGATAAACATGGTATCTTGAACAAAGCAAAACAGTGATCATTCTAGAACTTATATAAGACGCTTGTCAACAATTTCTTCTCTTCCATAGTAACCATTCCTGGTTCCACACACATCTGGATTCTCTTCTATAAAAACTTCCTATTATTATCTTAAAAGTTAAAATTGCCTGGCAGCATCCATCACAACATTATTCTGAAAAAGTTGCATGAACAATGGCTGTGGATAAATGGGACACATGAGCATGAGGGTGCTATTATACTTGTCTTCTACTTGTCAGTTTTCCACAGGCAGCCACTGTGTAAACCGACTGCTAGGCTAGATACATCCTGGGTCTGATCAAGCATGGCTTGTCTCATATTTTGACTAATATTGTGGAGTAGTACAAGAAAATTAATGTTCTTGCAATAGGGCAAACAAAACTCTGAAGTTTGAGAGAAAATCTATGAAGAACATACTCGCTTCTACATAATCTATTTACTCCACTTTGAAATGCTTCAATATTCTGGAACAATATTCTTATATCAAAATGCATAAGCAGCAGGACATGTGGAGGTGAAACATGGACAGCAGTGCTAAAATCCAGAAGGTAATTGTTAAAGTACATTATGCACATCAGATATTTTAAAGCATTAGGCTTTCAAAATTCATTTTAATTAATGAGGATATTGTTCTGTCTTCTCCCAGTATGGTGGTGATCCTTTTCCTTTGGTTATTTCTGCTAGATCTGTTTTCGGCTAAGAGTGATCAGGCTGGAGCAAAGAGGATACTGACATCTTTTCACCAGTATGATTTACTTGACAGACAGTTTAAAGTCTGTCCCAGGGTTCATTAATCCCAACAATACCTTGTGTTACAATAATGATTTGAAGCTAGAGGAAGAACAAATGGCTATTTTACCACATGTCTTTCAACATGTTCCTACCATTTAAGTAAGTTTTTTCTATCTGAGGCCAACTGCCAATTCACAGTTATCCCGTGTCTAATAATGTAATATGTAACCTTGTTCTACTGCTTTCCATTTGAGTCAATGGACTCAGACAGAAGCTCTTTTCTTCACACTCACTAAATACATGTCTATTCTCTTTAGTTTTCCTTAACTATGTTGCCACTTTTATTTCTCCTCTGGCCATTTTTCCACATCTGATTGCTTAGCAGCTTCATGATGGCCTTCAGCCTCAGAGTTGGATTTATTTCCCAGAGCCTCTTTCTCCCATAGCATCTTCTAGCATCAATAGACAGGCTCTTCCCCTGTTTACTGTTACATCAAGGTTCTGTCAGCAAAATGCCAGAGAACTCATAGAAGCATATAAAAGTAAGGAAGATGGCCAGGCCTCTCTTGCTAGCCAATTCTTTCTTGGCCACCAGTTTTCCACAGAGTTCATTTTGGTAGCTGCTGCTGTCAACACTTCATTTAGACAAACATAAAGGGCCAAATAGTCCGTTCTTAGGTGTGTAAAGTATATGATCTCTTGTTAATTTCCAAAGTTATACAAAATTGCCCTTAGATATATGTGTACTAACACCTTTGGGTTGGCTGGACATCCCCAAGCAAAACTTGGTTTCTATGGTGACTTCATAACCAAATGTGTGCACTCCATTTTCCATTATTTTTTTTAATGTACTACATTCCTGTGCTTTCTCAACATTTCCCCTTGGCTTCATCATTTTCCTTTCTAGATGTAGAATAGAAGATCAGAGGAAAGGGCATGAATCATATTATGTACCCTTCCATGCTGCTTATATACCCCTAGTCTTATCCTCTCTCCCCAATTAATTTGTTGATACATATTCATGTGCACACACACACATGCACTCAAACACAAAATTCACTAGCACAGACTAGGGAAGGTTGCTTGAGGTAGCTGAGGTAGAGCTGGAATTAAGAAGTTTTCCTTTGGGGTTTCCAGAGCTATGGGTTCTAATATTATTAAAATGTTTAATTTGGCCCTACTTTCATAAACATGCTCTATAAAGAGAATGAAGAATAACCAAATATCCACATTTTATAAGCACTGGAGATTACTATAGAGCATCTGTATATACCATGCACAGTAGTATCTGGGGAAAGCAAAGCAACACTGACATTCCTGGTGTCACTTCAGAGCACAGAGTTTGTTTTGGCTTTCTGTAATGGTGGATCTATGACTTTATATTGTCACGTTGCCATACCCACATGCTCAAAGAACTACCACAAACATGGATTTTCTTGTTAAAGATTTATAAAATGCTCTTCTTTAAAAGACGGATTTAACATCTGAGGAATTTGGTATGTTACAATCAAACATAGATAAGAATATATAAAGCATTTTCTCCCTAAGGAAGTTATCTAATGGATTTTCTTGTTAAATCTGCAGCCAGAAAACCTGGCAGCTTAGTATCGCAAGATGGTTGAAACTCATCTTAGTGGAATACATTAATCTGAAGTTTTATTGTCAGTTTATTGAAGTGAAGAAAATAATACAAATGCTATTTTTTTTATTAAATGTGTTTGGAATGTTTCAACGGCAACAAGGACCAAATTGAAAAATAACACATGTTTTTATGGTTATGGGCTATAGATTGAAAATGTATGTGGAGAATGCAAAGCTCCATAAACTTTTCTATTAACTACACATATTCTTAATATGTGATTAAACTCCACTGAACTTAAAACTACAAAGCTAAATTTAGTATCAAAAGCTGCAGTCCTATAAACAATATATGGGGTAAACCTCACTCAGCACTGTGGAAACTAGTTCTGGGAAAGTGTATGTGTGTATGTCTATAGGATTGTGCTGTAAACTAAGGCTAATTGGTGATGTGCAAAACTGTTCCCTTTGACCCTACCAACATCAAAACACAGAGGAAGTCACTGACCATTTCACAAATAAGGGAAATAAAATGTCTTTTCAGTAGCATGTAAAAAATAGATTCCACATGTCAATATTACTCATATTTTCTATGTCATATTAATAGTATGTAATAGATAAATTTAATGCTATACTGCAGTGCATGCGCTTATGTAACTGCAAAGGCCTTACTGCTGGATGGTGCCAAATGTGTATATACCAGATGACTTCTGACCTGAGGTCAGCTTTTAAAGTGCACCACATTTCTGGTTCAGGGCCAGAATCTGGAAAACAGAGTGTTCCAGGTAATAGAGCAGTTGGCTGTCCCTAATCTAAAGAATGGAAACAGGATAATCTCCAGAAATGTTAAGCAACTGTTTCTGAAGAGGCTACAACAGGAGGGATCATCATAGTAGAAATCAAGGTCCTTGCCTAGTTACTTTTAATTTAACCTTTCCAGCTTAAGATATATTCATCTATGTGCTTAAGAAGTATTTTAAATAACAAATGTAAATAAACACATACATTTTGAATTTAAATGTAAGATGATTAGAGTAGGGAGTCATCCTTTTTTTTCTTGTCTATATGAGGATAAGGTGTTGAGAAGTGTGATTGTTTTTATACATAATAGGAGTCATTTAATACAGCCAGATTTCACTTTCCTTTCTTCCTACTGTAGAGAGGCACACCTGGCATTACACTATTACCTTTTCAGTGCCAGGAGAGATTTTTTTAATTGCTAAAGCTTTTTAGTCTTTCTGGTTTTTGTCTGTCTTTTTTTTAAAGTATAGAGTGTTTTAAAAATTTCATATTGCTGCTGTCTTTTACTTTGTTTTTATTCCAGTTTTATTCTATTGCAATTTTCCATGTTTTATATTTTATTATTTATTTTATTTATTAAAACATTTTTATGCCGCCCCATTCGCCGAAGCCTCGGGGCAGCTTACAACAATAAGTTAAAATAATTATAATATAAATCAAAAATATAAACATTAAATTAAAAATACAAAAATACAGTATAAAATAAGCCGCCCTGGCCAGATAAAATCCAATAATATTAACAGTTACTTTGTCATCGTTTTGTCTACTTGTTTGCTTCTTACATTAATACCCTGCCTTTTTTCCCTCTTGCAAGGAACCCAAGGTGGCTTATATGATCCTATTTTTTTCTATGTTATCCTCAGAACAACCCAATGAGGTTGGTTAGGCTGAGTCACTTATTGGCACAAAGTTACCTAGGGAGTTTTACAGCTAAGCAGATACTAAAACCAAGATCTCTTCAGCTCCAGTTCAACATCTTAACTGCTACAAAACACTAGCTCTCAAATGCATGGTAATGTTTACAGTGTTTTCCGAACTGCTTTAGAAAGCTTCAACACAGAAACAAA